CTCTCCATCTCTCCATCTCTCCATCTCTCCATCTCCGTCAACACAACGGTCTCTGACCCCCCTCTCTTTGCCAGGCTCACCAGGTCACAATCATCGTGTCTTCTCTTAATCATCGATAGCATAATGACGCACCCATCCGTCAACATTCAAGTTCCTGATCCGGACCGGTGGCAGTATCCAGGACAGCTCAGCCATCCAGCTGACCCTTACGTAACCTGGAAGCTCCGACACCCCGGCAACAACCCCATCGGCGTCACTAAGCCCGCTCGCCTCCAGCAGCTATCCAAAGCCGATTGGAAGGATCTCCATGATAAGGATGAAGACAAGCAGAAGGATAAGAAGTACAAGATGACACAGATCCCGGCGGAAAAGACGGGCAGCCCAGAAGGGTACCCGTGGGTTGTCCACCTTTATGCGAGAAACCTCGAGGAATCGCTTAAGTGGGAATGGCCTTCAGATCCGAATGGGAGTCAGGCTGCGAGGTTCAACTCCATAATTCCCACACAGTGGGTCAAGGGGACTGCGTGGTTCGCTCGCGGAGTTAGCAATGATGATCGGGCGCCCATCTACCTGATGACAGCGGCGCACAATCTGGTCAAAAAAGCTCCCCGGAAAATAGACGAATGGGGACGACCGTTGCAACGCGGTCAACTCAGCCAACGCCTGAGTTTCGGTGTCACCAAGGAGTACAAAAAGTGGCCCTACAAGGCGATGCACAAAAGTCGGGCCCGCGCCGATGCCGTTCTCATTGTTGCCGAGATCCGACCGGACCCTCAGACCGGCGGGGTGTACAAGCGCTTCGAGGCATGGGCGGACATGGCTTGTATCTCACAGCAGTACCTCAAGGATCCTAACGGTAGCCGACTCGACATCGCCGCTCTGCGACTGCGCAAAGGCAAACCCTTCCCCAGCGACTTTCCATCCGACGTGCTCAGCAATGCACCCTACATTCACTCCCTACCGCCGGAATTCGAAGCTCGTTCTGATGCCTACTTCATGGGAGTCGGCATTCCCGGCTTTCTCGACAAGTACCGCGAGCGGGGTGGGACGTATCTGCTCCGAGATCCCGCTGATAGAATCCAACATGCGGAAGGGGTTGTCCCAAATGTTTTCAACTTCTCATCGTCCAGCAAAATCAAGGTACGCAAGTGGCAGGGATACAAGTATTATGTGCCCTGGGGCATCGGGAAGTATAAGTCCGCTGTGCCATATACGCCATACGACCACCGGTTCGAGGGAACGCTCACCCACAAACTTCCTTACGAGAGAATGCCCCCTGGCGTTTCCGGCGGACCTGGCATCTTGGGCGTCTTTCAAGACAAGAGGAACAAGGACGAGAAGAAGGACGGCGATAACGACACCAAGGACGGCGAAGACAAGGACAAGGACGAGGACAAGGGCAAGGACAAGCTTGAGATGGTCGTTTGCTGCATGGTCATTGAGGACGCTGATGATAAGCACGCATTTCGACCCAACCATTTTTCCGGGGGCGCCGTATTTTCATCGTCTAGTATGGCAGTGTACCCGACGCGGAAGGCGCTCAAGGCAGCAGATCCGGCAGTGCTTCTGACACAGCTTGGTGCGAAGGGTTTGGGTTGGGAGCCTGTGAAATTTGGCGGCCAGGAGTATAAGCGATTGTCCCGGCGCCTTGAGTAGGTAAAGGCCTGCACATTGTCCATGAAGACGACGGTGTGAACCGCTAGTTTGCTCCTTGGGCATGTTTGACGCCAAATATTTGCTACGGAAGCGGTATTTTCAAGCAGATGGTGGCCGACATCGCCGTGGTGATTCTGGTTGTACAGGGGCTGGGACCCAAGATCCTCGCGGCGGTGAAGAAGCTGCTCAGGGGGATATTGAGGCCGATAATGTTTGCGCTGCTAGACTGAACACTTGTTCCCTTTGTTGGCTCGCTGCTGTAGCTGACTCGATCCCCGTTATTCAAGGGTACCGCACATGGCACTGTCGAGTCTGTCATTTGTCTTTCACATGCTCATTACCGTTAAATAAAATCCCATTCAGCTAGACTTGTGGGGGAGTAGAGTCAGCTCTGCAAGAATGGAAGGCGAAAGTGTTGGTAAGGTATTATATGCATATTCTAGCAAGGGCTTTTGTCGGCTTGAAAGGGGTATGTAGGTAACACCAGGGTCTTACGATACATATGAAACACAGGGCAAATGCCTCTTCTGGAGAGAGACGTTCTAAAGAGAGACGTGCGAAAGTGGTGGTTCAGTTGGATCGATCCTGTTGTGTTCTTCTAGGAGGGGAATGAGGGGGTTCTGGTCTTGCAGCCGGAGTAGCGGTCCTCGAGGTCCTAGCCCACGTGACTGCCACCCTGCGATTAGCCACACTCCTGCCCTCTACCGCGTCCCCCTGGCCATTACGGGAGCTTTCCGAACTGTAGCAACAGCGGTTGCAGAAGCGGAAGCAAACATCCCGCCGGTACGAGAGCGGCATACGCTGGGAGCCATCAGGCTCTGGATCAACACCCGCAACTGCCTGAGACACATCCCCTTGCCATAAGAAAGTCCGGGCAACAGCACGATTCGTCTCCCCACTTCAGAAGATCGCCCGTACGGTGGAAGAAGCCCGATGCAAATTGAATCCAAATTTCTGGACAATTGAGCCTTGGGCTCTATCTCTGAGCCCAACACCAACCTAACGTTCTGTTCAGATCGTTTACCTTGTCCCAAGAGATTTAAATGTATTCGAATGCTCAGACATGATTCCTGAGGGCATCAAGAGGTCCCCGAGTTATCAAGAACATACTACAAGAGGTTTCGGGTCGGCACACAGTAGCCGTCAGCGGCTATTGTATGTCCTACATGAGCTCTACTATCTCCCTAACCATGTCTGGTTGTCTGCTTCCTTTCATGTCAGAGAGTAACTGATGAATATTGTCAAGATCTTCACGCCTTTATTCGTCTGGATGAACGTTGGTCGTCTCTTTCCGCACGCCAGGACTGCCGCAGGCTACCAACCGGCTGATGTTCCTGTAGCTATCCTCGGCGACTCTAACCAGGAGCGAAACCAGCGTCCACTTGCACTTTTTTAAGATTTGGGGACGAACCAGTACTACAGTATTTCTGGAAACATAGAACTACAATGAAGCACTTGAGATTGGACCGCATTTCATAAACGCAATGTCGACAGCATCGTCAGCAAATACTGTACCGACGCGTACGGTTAATAAATAGAGCAGCCCATTGCTTATTTAAGTGCTTAGACAGTGAGGTGGCGGACAGAAGGTACAACTAGATGTGAGTGATCGACGTTCCTTCCCAGCATTTTCTTTTGTATACCTACTCTCAAACACTTCCGTGATTTTGAAGGGGCGTATCCATCGAGCTGCCAACCTCTCCTTAGCCTTGAAATACTTAGTTGACAGCTCAACTAGCTGACCACACCGGAATTCCACTGGTTTTCCTTCGCAGTTTCCACCCGTTTGACGTTAACCACAGAACCGTGCCATTCTGTCTCCAACGCATCAATAGACGTCTTCTTCGAGTCCTTATCGACGTGTATTGCCACCTCCTCTTCCTCAAAGTCATTCCCAGGTCCTTTACTCTAACCCCCCAACTCCCTGCCCCGGATGACCGGACATCCCCGTGGTGAAAAAACCAGCATTGCTCCCTAGGCTGTACAAAGAGCACTTTGAAGGTTGTGTTTGCCTGGATTCTAAGGAGTCGATGCTGGTACCAATTCCACTATCCAACATCAATCCGGATAGATCATCCATTGACGGCGGGTCTGGCTCTCCTTCTTCCGGGGGTACATCTTTCGTCAGACTCCAGCGCAAAGGGAACTTCCAGCTATATCCAAAGATCACTGTACCCCGTGGCCCACCTGCCCAGGACTCCGTAATCCCCGCCCATACAGCTGAGGGAAGGTAGTTGGGAGGAGGACCTGCACCTATCACCAGGATTTGGTCTTGACGGATCGGATTGGTCCCCCTTTTTGCCAAGGTTTTCTCCTTTTCGATCCGGTTCGTAGCATGTCCTGCAGGTCTGCTCCGTACACAACCAGGAAGTCTTTGCCTGTGGGCACGAAAGCAGAGGGCTGCAGAAAGCCTCTGCGTGGCCTTCTGTCCGGGTTTGCCAGAGTAACTTACCGAAACCGACCCCAAAGAGTGTCACGGAGTAAGAGAACGGATCAGATGGACCCAGCCCATGCTCATGGCTTGAATGGTGGCTACCTTTAGCCAGAGAGTATTGTGACAGGTGGCGACGTCCATGGATTTAAATATGAGAAGTTAACATACGAACTTGTATACCAAAGACGGCACGCTGGATCATGGGAGCGTAAAGAGCACTAACTCAAACCCTCGATATGATGGCGTGGTGACGACTTGATGCGGAATCCGAAGCCTGCCTGGGTGCTCACATCGTCATGGTACGCTGTGATTTGCAACAGGACGTGACAAATTTGTTCAACTTTTTCCCTTAATGTAAAGTTGGACCTCATCGTCTTGATCGCCGTGGTTTCAGTGTCAGTCTTGCTATGAGCTGGTTGTTTTCTCCTCAGACATTGCTGACTTTCTTGGGTAGAGCGGCATGTTCTGGTTGTTGGGATTCGTCAAAACTTCACAGGCACCCTTCACACCTGTGTACGCAACTCTGAGACGTGCTTCCTCGATATCACCATACCACCGCTATACATGAAGTAGTCGCAAATGCAGTCGTTCTCGACGTAGAGTTTGAGATAGGCTCGGAGGAGGTGGAGGACAGCACTGACACCGTTGATGAGCCATCATCCTTTCTCCTCACTATAATCGAAGACGATCTGGCGCATCTTAATAGTGATTGGGTTTCCCATATAGTCGCCGACACTGCCAGAAATCCAACAGAAGTGGTTTATCTTTAACACCGACGAGGAAGCTCGCGCCCGGCGTGATGAATGGGATGGCTGAGCCGGATACGGCGACCTTTTACATCACGCAGCCGGAGGTGAGATTCGGAAGCTCGGTCCATTCGATGCCATAGTCGGCATCCGGGGCACATAAGTGTTGTGGGTGGTGCCCCACATCCTTGGCAGACCGGGTTGCCCACATCTGGTGCAGGGGTTACAGCCTTGCCCTCCAGCATCACCACTGCATGAACCACCATTGATGATCACCATCTTCTGTTGTCTCTGGATCTCCATCAATAAATTGTTGGTAAGGCATGGTAGGATAGAGAATAGGGAATCTACCGGCGTAGTTCTTCACACTATCACTCCACCCTGATATGACGGCTTCTTTCTAGAAATTCTATGGACGAAGGATGGTGTTCATGTGACTTCGACACTCGCTCATCTTCGTACGAGATGTACTCGCCCCCTAGGTTGTAGCAAAGGTGCCAGTACACAACTCCGCCCACGATTTGAACAGCAGCGAGCATGGCCGCAAAACTCTTGACGAACGTCGTACCAACGCTGCCAATAAGCATACAAATGCACCGAGGAGAATATCCTCAAGCGACACCCAGATTTAACAAGAGAAATGACCCCGGGCTCGAAAATGACCTCAGCGGTGCAGCTGGATGGTGCGGGTGAGGACAAGACAGATCGAGAAATGAAAGGGAGTTTAGCAAATAACGGCTCTATGCAACGACCAGGTACATTCTAACCAGACTCGGCGGGGGAAGGTTTTGTGAGCCAGGCACAGGAAACGGCTCGGCAAGAGAAGACCGAGTCCTCCATTACCGGTGATAAAGAAACCCCATCCACATCTCAAGCAGGCGCACAGGGATCAACAGGTCATTCAACTTCGGTCATGATGATGCACCCGGCAGACGCATTCGGCAAGCAACTGCTGGAGATTTCCCAAGCGATCATGCGCCGATTCCTCCCCAAAGATGAGCACTCGAAATATCATGCTGTGTGTGAGCGGTTCTGGGGCAGCGTGGATGAGGCTGTCCGGGTAAGCACGCCATGGCCGACTTTTCCCTTCCCTAATGCAAGGTCCAAGAAACAAGATAAAAAGTGCTCTGAAGTGTACTGACGGTTATTTTAGCAAATTCGATGGTCTACCGAGCCGTCGGGTGCATTGTGGACAATCCGAGACTTCGACACCATGTCCGGCACTGCAGGTGGAAGCGGAGGTGTGACAGCGAAGAGCCGTATGTCGGGTGCACGGCTTGTTCCACAACCACAACATATGCTTCGGCATCATCTGCACTCCAGCATCTCCATAGCGTCCACTTTGAATGTCCCCTTGGAGAATCGGCCGCAGGCAGAACAAAGGACAGGACGCACGATGACCCTTGCTATGCATACATCAAGTCGTTGGCCGACACCCACATCGAACGAACCGGAGATTGAGAAAATAGCAAAGGAGTTTATCAACCATCTCTCGGACTTCTCGGGCAGCCTCAACAAGATACAGTGGCTCGTCGCTACCAACTCGCAGGGCATTGCTCAATACCACGACGCTATCTGGGCAACGAAGAAGCACTTGACGAATTCCTCGTAGAATGACAATATTTGGAAGGCTGCCAAGTGTCTGAAGTCCGACGACGATACAGCGGTTGGAAAAGCACCACAGCTCGTCAAAGCGGGCCGAACAGTCACCGCAGACGACAAAGAACAGGCAGAGAAACAACTGGCCAAGTTCTTTCTCCCCCCTGCCATAGGCCATCAAAGTGAAAGCCCCGGGCCGCAAAGAATGTGGTCGCTGCCGATACCTTCCGGGCCAGAGCAGATGTTCGATGAAACTGTAAGTACAGATGTCCCTATCAAAAGTTTTACCACACCGCCTATTTAGTTTACTGGCCATAGGAGAGTTCTCTGCCAAACAGAACCACTGTGATTTTAAGGCGGTGAAGCAAGACTTTTGGTAGGAACCTCCGTAGATTAACCACATACGGCCTAGCATCTCCAAAAAATTCATACTGTACATCACATCCGCGCGCCAGTGGCACCGCGCATCGCCCATCGCCATGACATGGCCACCGCGTTCAGGCTCTTTTCTCATGCATCGCCATCTTTCCACCACTTCAACACCACGCGACGCAATTGTTGTCAGTCAATTGCGCGCGCACGACTAAGCACGACGACACTTGCACCCAAGTCCGTGCTGGGATAAGCCGCGGCAATGCCAGTCATAGCAATGCAGCACTAGCAATACAAGCCGCAGTAACACTAAAAGTCATGTACTGTGATAATCCAGCCGGCAATATGATGCAAAGTACGGATGTCCCTACCAAAAGAATCCGCTCTCCGCCTTCCATAATACTGCCCGGCAGAATTACCCATCCCCGCACTCCATTTCTGTCCCTGATTTTCGAGACTGTTCAATTCGACACCCCATTTTGCAAGCACTTAGCCATGGTCTATTACGATACTGCTACACGCGCTCAGGCGCTTACTTTGAAGCTTATTGTAGGACTTGACAATAAGCAGATTGAAGCTATCACTGGTTTGAAGAGCCGAACTATCAACGACCTTGTTGACAAAGCTCTTGAACGTGGCTTCGACCCTCAAGTGTCTTCTGTTATCCTCGACAAATACGTCTGCGATGCTCCAAAGGCTGGCCGTCCTTCTAAGAAAAACGAACATAAGGATACGGTTCTCCAGAAGGTTCGTACAACCGGTACGGCCGCGAGATGACTTGTGCTTAGATCCCAGCCGAGTTAGGAAGCGTCATCTCCCCACTGACAATCTGGCGTATCTTATGTGCGGCTGGGATGCAGAAGACCAAGCCAACACGCAAGCCTGGTCTGACTGAAAAGATGGGAAAGAACGGCTTGAGTTCTTGTCTTCGATATCAACATTGGACTCATCAAGATTTGAAGCAAAGTATCTGGTCCGATGAGACCTCTGTTGTCCTCAACCATCGCCGTGGCCGCTACCGTGTTTGGAGGACTCCTGAAGAGAAGTTCGTCAAATCTGTGATTTGAGAGCGTCGGAAAGGATATGCCAAGCTCCAGTTCTGGGGCTGTTTTACATATGATTTGAAGGGTCCATGTCATATCTGGCATCCAGAGACTGCACAGGAGAAGAAGAGAGCTAAAGAAGACCTTACTGCTCTAAAGGCTAAACTGGAACCTATCTTACGAGAGCAGTGGGAGTTGGAAAGCAAGATGAAGCGGTTAAAGCTAAGGAACACAGGCGGTAGAGCACCGCAGTGGAAGTGGGATGCCAAGCATGGCAAGCTTATACGGCGAGAGGGCTCAGGGGGTGACTGGTATCGCTACCAGAAAGAGATTTTGCTGGCCAAGCTCATCCCATACGTCCAAGAGTGTGGTCAAGATGCCGTTGTCCAAGAAGATCTAGCTCCTTCGCATGCCCATCGCGCCCAGCCAGCCATCTTTGAAGCTGATAGTGTAGCTAGACTTCTATGGCGTCCCAACTCCCCGGACCTTAACATGATTGAGCCATGTTGGCCACAACTAAAGCGTCAAACTATAAAGAAGGGAGCACCCAAGAGCGAAAATGAAGCTGAAGAAGGGTGGAAGAATGCGTGTGCTAGCTTGGAACAAGCGAAACTACAGAGCTGGATAGGCGAGAACGAGCGTAGTTGGAATGTCACCGAGCGTAGCGGCAGCGGTGCGGGCACCCAGGGCAGTTGAATTCACAGCGCATTGACTTCCCCACATGCAGCTTCGTCTCGTAGCGCTTCTAGATGTCCATCCCCAGTGCTTCTCCTCTTATGGCCATGGGAGCCGTTGTTCAATCGTAGCTAATGGACGCAAGCGTTACCGTTGATCAGATTCCGTATAACTAAGTTACCCAATTTTTTTCATCAAAGTGACTCCCTCCGCTCTCTGCCAACCGTTGCCGCAGAATCCCGGTCGCCGCGAACCCTCGGTGCAGGAACCTCGTAGAGCCCGCCGTTCCGCCTACTGCTAACGGGAACCACCAATGCGGTGTAAGGGTTAGGACTGTGGCCTGTCTAATTAGGTATTTTTTAAGTTGTCACGTCGGCTTCAGCTAAAGAAGCTAGAACGTAGTGTACGTGAGCCCAGGTGGGGTGGCTGCTATATTCCTGTTAAGCAATAATTTCACGCGGGCGCTTCCGGGAGAAGCAGGCAGAAAGGCTTACGGTCGGTTGTCGAGGTGACGCTCGCTAAGTTCCTCTCCAGGATGGTGGCTGGGGATGGATCGTTCAGTCTTTCGCTCGTCAACCTCCCAGCCATGATAGACGACGTAGCACGCTTGCCATGTCGCTTCCGCCGTGTCTTCCGAATGAACTCGCCGAAAGGCGCAAGAGCGGCGACAAGAGCTTCATTGATACCGTTACGAGAAAATGGAGGCGTCCGCGGGGAAACCCAGATTGTCGACTTCCTGGTTTCAATCTGTCCAAACATCCAAGAAGTTGAAGTCGCCACGGCACTGCATCTACCGGAGCTATTCACCCTCAACTCCTCCGGCTCGCTGACCCGCCTCAGGTACATCAAACTAACCCACGACCTTGGAGCGACAGATTCAGAGGAAGGGCATGGGCTTCCCTCTTGTCGCCCGTATTGCCGCCGTGGTCACCACAGTTCGGACCCTTGTTTGCGGAGGGGTAGTGCAGGGAACAGAAAGCATCCCAACTTTGCTCACGTTTACCCGCCTCGTCAAGCTGCATCTCGACTTTTCCGCCATTGGCATGGTGCCCCTTCGAGACCTTCTCGCCGCGTGTCCAAACTGACAATCATTCATGTAGTGCGCCGGCTGTTATTGTTGTTTCGAAGGATCAGACACAGAGCAGTTCACTCCCGCAGAAGCCGAGCAAGCTCTGATCTCTCACACCCCCAATCTCAAAGAACTGACCATGGACATGTCCTGGTCCCCAACCGCCCCTTGACGGAAATGATGCGGTCATTGGGTGAGCTTTCAAAGCTCGAGCATCTGTCCCTGGATCTTCTGTACCTACTTCCCGGTGTCAAGCAAGGAACCGATGATCCTTCTTTATGACACCCAGTTCGGATGCGGATTCTATGCTGCTGGTCCGCTTGCTGCCCGCCTCCATCCAGTCGCTCCGGCTTTACTGGGTCAGCAAGGGCTACGGATTCGAGTTCAAGCCTCTTTGCGCCCCGTTAATGCAGCTCGCATCTACCGCTCAGAATTAATCCTCCATGCCGCAGAGCATTAAAGTGTCCTACCTGGGCGTAGATATTGGATTGGAAGAGGATCGCGATGCTGCAAGGGTTCTGACGGCGGCATTCCACGAGCCGAGACATTAGGATTCACATCGAGTAAGCAGCGGCCCTGCGTCAACCAGACATTGGAGCAAGAACAAGGCAGATTGCCACAACAACGACTTCCTTCCATGCCCCGAGTATTCCACAGCGGCACCTCACCCTCGAGAAGTATCTTGTCTTGTTTTATCGGTAGCAGGCTATATCTACATCGGGCTCAGAGCTGCATTCCTTGGTTAGCGTATTCGAGCAGCAGAGACACCAGGGAAGGGCCGGTCGTAAACCAGCCGAGCAGAGAAGAAATAAACCTGTAACGCCGCTCAACAGTACTCCAGCAGTCGGAACATGACGCACAACACAAGTTCGTGGCCATGGCGGGCTGCAAGGGCACTTGCCCGACTCTCCGTATTGTTCTTCCTCTTTCTGCTGTTCCTGCCCTCTTTTATCGTTATACTACTCCCTTATCTCGTCTCGCTTGCTTGTTTGTTTTCTTGTTCTTTCTCTCGGTTGGTTCGTCCATCTGTATCGGGCTTGGAGTTCTCGTTTGCGTTGCTCTCATTCTTATCGCCAGCTGTATAGAGGCCATTGTTCATGGCTCGAGATACTAAGTGGTCAAAGGTCTGGTTCAATGACGGGCACAGTATTAATTTGCCAAAAGAAGAACTGAGCTTCTTGCTTCACGTACAAAGCTAGGTATCCGTCATACCTGGCCGTTCACCTTACCCGACAAGAATATTGTGGGTCTAAAACAGGGTTAGGGCTAACCCCTTTTTTCAAGCTTCTCTCCCTCGCAAGCTGCTTCAAAACTTAGAACTACGGAGATACCTATGTCTGGTTGCACTCAAGCCCCAGAACTTACTTTAAAATACCCGGGATATAGACCAGTTTCCAGCCAAATCGTGAATTGAGAGTCAAATCCCAGTTTTAACCACGTCGAATTCAGCGAAGACCAATCCTTGTTAGGCATCATCAGATTCGAGGTATCGACCCTCATTGTATGTACGTTCCTACTGTACAATAGACCACAAAGCAAACCTCGGCCATCCACGTCCCGAACCCGATCACACTTGTAACTCCCACCGCAAAAGACGGGTTTACCTCTTCTCAAAGGCACCTTCTTTGCATTTGAGCCGAACGAACCAAATCTCACGCGAAATACGGGGGGGGCTTTGTCGCATGAGACCTTGCGGCTCAGATTTTCCGATGAGACGGTCATACGGAATACGGCGTAGAGTTGAGCCGCCCTTACGGCTCAGGCTTCCTCTGTCGTCTCTGTCCGCGACAATGATTGGGGGTTACGTGCAGATCACTGCTTGGCAAACAGGCCACGGCAAGGAAAGGGTGTTGTGCGCGAGCAGGGGGCGGAGGCAACTCTGCTAACACTTTCAGTGGTAACTGCGGTGTGTCATTGTTAGCAGCGAAATGCAGGGTTGAGCCTCCTCCATGCCAAGGAAGATGCGATGATACGCTGCAAACCAGGATGGTTGCGTCCCCTATCGGCAGCCGCTCTCAAATCCCGGGGTGGCTGCCGCGGTCAGTTCAAATAAGATGAGGCGCCCCGCCGTTGAGCCGTTAGCCTCGCTCAACGGAAAACCCAGTCCACTGGCAGTTCCGGACTCGTCATGGCGACAAGACCGTCGAAGATGGCGCGCCTGGCCGTCCTGGCAGCGCTGCTTGTACCGCTCCAACCGGCGCTGGCTTCATTCTACACAGTCACGTCGTACTTCGCCTTGACCGAGACTCTGTCCACCCGCTCAACGCGCACCTACACCTACACCGACACACTCACCCTCTACCCGACGCCGGCGACGGCCACACCAACCGCCCGCGCCGTCTCATCTAGCACCTATATCAACACGTACTACGACGTCGAAATCGTCAGCATATTTGTGGCAGCCAGCGACCTCCCCTCCTCCTGGCTCGCGGCTACCACCGAAGCGCGGGACAGCGGCGTCTTCACCAACTTCGCCGTCTCCGTGACCTGGACGGCGCCCTCGTCCTGCCCAACGCCCTTCACCGTCGAAACCATTACAAACGTCAACATTCCCAACGATGTCGAACCCTATTTATCGGCGCCGACGACCGTCACCGCACTCATGGCCGGCATGACCGAGACATACACTTACTACACCTACATCCTGGACCGCACGCAGGTCCCATCCACCCTGATCCCCACCAACCCCACCTCCGCCTTCGACTACTCGTACTACGTGGCCAACTGCCGCAACCCGACCGCGACGTCGAGCTACACGGCCCGTGCGCCGAACGCCACCTCCGGAGGCGGCGGCGGGCGCTACGGCGGCGGGGACTGGTCCGGCGGCGACGATGACGACTACTGGGACTCGGACTGGACGGCCTGCTCGGCGCTGACGGGCTGCGTGGCTCTGCGGACGTGGGTCATTGTGGTGGCGACCCTGCTCCCGGCCATCTTCTTGCTCGGCTTCGTCGAGTCGTACTTTTGGTTCCGGCGCATGATGCTGGGAAAGAGCGCGCTACGGCTGGGCACAGTCTGCTGGTGCCTCTTGTCGCTGTGGTTCATCCTTCTTACGCGCCGGTCGCCGACGCGGAGTAAGGAGGATCAGGTGCTGCTGAGGCAGTACTGGAAGACGTTGGGGTTCGGGACGAGGATGAAGTTCTGGTTCAAGTATGGATTTAAGTGGCGGTATCCGGTGGAGTTGTTGGGGAATCCGGATGGGAATAATCCGGTGGTGGTGGTGCAGCAGCAGATGGCTGTCCCGCTGCCGGGGCCCGGGCAGCAGGGGGATGGGGCGGGCGGAGGTGGGGCGGAGAAGACGGAGGGGGTGACGGCTCATCAGCCCGTGTATATGCCGTACCCGGGGCAAGCCTACATGCAGCCCATGTCGGGCCAGCCGCTCCCTGGGCAGCAGTATCCCGGGCAGCCCTATCCCGGACAGGGGTATGTGATGATGGCTGTGCCACCGCAGGGCCCCTACCCGGGACATCAGCCGGGGTTCGTACGGGCGCCCCAGATGGGTGATGTCCAGCAGCAACAGCAGCAGCAGGGACAACTCTACCCGCCGTATGTCCCCTCGCCCTCGCCAGCACAGACCAGTACCACCGATGCTCCAACCATGCAGCCGACCCCACCCCCCGACCATCATGAGGTGCAAGCGCCTCCTCCGTCTGGCCAACAAGAACAGCAGCAACAACCGCCGCCGGCCTCTCATTAGCCAGCTGGTTTCATGTTGTTCATACTTCGTTGCGACATAGTACTTCTGGCACTCCTTTACCTTTTGAAGCGGGCGCTGAGAAATAGCAGACTGCTTGGGCAGCTTCTTCAGCAGTGCAGTATAAAGGGGGTCGGGGGGCACCAGGGAAGTGATGTACCAGGACGGTGGATTGGACATACACTACATGTCCAGGTAATGATGTTTTTAGATATTCTTAACTCTTCTCTAGATTTGCGCATTGGACCTGGGTCCGAATCGATAGATCCGAAGTACCAATCACCAACTTATATGCTGGCAAGCTTTTGTGGTTGATGGGTTAGATGTATACCCGCCCAATCACGTCATGTTTATTATCACCAGGGGCAATTGGTTCCCAATGAGTATTAGATTGTTCGCACGCAGCTAGGAGAAAGTACCGGCCCAGTACGGCCTACAACCTCGGCAAAAATCCCTAGAGTCTGGCTGGAGTGGAAGCTCAACTGGAACGCCCACCGAGGAGCGGTGGAGCAGAAGTTTAGGACTCAGAGCTATGCTCTGACAAGAATTACAGCGGTAACGTGGGGCCTAGGGCTAGCCAAAGCGAGAGAGGTGTACTCTAAGTGCATTCGGTCAACACTAGCCCCCAAACCCAGCCCTCCCCCAACCCGCCAACATGAATCGCCAGGAGCTTTGCATCACCAACAATGCCCGCGCCTCCTCAAGGCGATCCAACACCCAAGTCTCCGCCCTCCTCCGCGAGGGCCTCCCAGGCCCCTTCAGCACACTGGCCCAAGTCGCCCACATCCCTCTCGTCGACGTGGCGCGCATGTCGGCCGCGACATGGCCGCCCGGCAGGCCGAGGTAGCCCAGCGGCCACACAGTCGCAGGGGCAAGATCCCGCGGCCTCTTAACGCCTTTCTGCTGTACCGCATGGCGTACAAAAACCGGGCCATGGCCTTCCGCCAGTCGTTTCGAGAGCGGGACCGCCGGATCAGCTTCCCGCATATTTTGGCGTTCAGCTGGAAGATGGAGCCGGAGGGTGTGAGGCGGGAGTTTGCGGCGCTGGTGGAGGTTGAGAAGAAGAGGCATGCCGGGGCATTTCCTGGGTGGAAGTATCGGCCTGTGGTTAAGGGCAGGAAAAGGGCTGAGCGGGGTGACTTGGAGATCTGATGGAGGTGGACGGGGTTGAGATGGAGGAGGAGGTGGTCGTCGATAGGATTGTTGTGGGAGGTTCGAAGCAGAGTGGTGGACGAACTCGGAGTGGTTATCGGCGGCTGAGTGGTGCTGGTGGTGGTGCGGTGGGTGTGCCGGATGAGCAGGGCCAGAGGACGGTCGAAATTGTTGAGTCTGCAGTCGCCGCTGCGATGTTGACGCTGTCCCAGCATCCTTCTCCGGCTGTGTTAATGGTGGACATGGCGGCGATTGATCCCCAGCTGCTGCTGGCTTCTTACACATGGCAGCATCAGAACCCCCTGTCGACAATGCTGACGCCGATAGCGTTTACCCGACGAACATCCTCGACGCCATAGATGCCATAACGCCGGAGCGGCTGGAGGACTTCCTGGCCGTGCCCTAAATCAGCGATTATTTTGGTTTGGGTTCAAAGTAAGTTGTTTTCTCTTCTCCGGTAATTCCCCGGCTGGAACGGTCAAGGGGAGAGAGTTGAATTGATAATGTACGTTAGGTTCTAATAATCAGTACCTTGTCTGAGCTCCTCGAATTACCTGGCCGTCTAGATGCAAGATGACAATGAACGCACTTAGACGATAAGTTGGCAATTCTACAATCCAACCCTAGTTTGTTCGTTGGCGTGGCACACGACGGGCACTAGGAATGAATGGAAAATGCAAGTTAAGAACCATGAGGAAAAGGGAGGGAAGATAAAGAGAAAAAGATAGCAGGAATACGAAAAGGACGAGATAAGGGAAGAGAACAACAAAGATAGAGAGAGAGATAAAGAGGAGGAGGAAAAGAAAGGGAGAATGTAAGCTGAAAGTAAAAAGAAGAAAAAGAAGTGCAAATAACTTAGTTACTGAGTTCCGCGCGAACAAACCAACCAGGGCCGAATTGCGATTATGAAGAGAAATTCCCTGGGATACATTAGTATGTTGGGTTTGCCTCATCCACAAGGTAATTGCGGTTTCTTTTCTCCCTCTCCGTCACTTACGAACCCAATCCTGACCCGGTAGGAACGACTCTCGTGTAAGATCGGGCATCACGGAATGCAGCAAGTACCGTCACAGCAACCATCCCGACTGGGCTATCACGTCAATCTACCGGCCTTCGCTGTCCCACGGTCTCCTAAGCTTCCAGGTTTACCAGCTTTGTTTCCACGTAAGCACCCTACCTACCGTTCCAAATTGGTGGTCATGAAATCAAGCAAATTCCAATAATCTGTATTTTTCTCCCCACGACCGGAGCGACCAAGTTCCTGGCTTCCATTTAGATCGTACTCATACAAATCACTCCTCGTTATGTCGCAGAAATCGGGGCCTCTGGTCCGTGGCTTATGCTAAGTAAATCGGTTCTTAGACAGGGCTAGGTGTGCAACAGTCCATAATCAGCAAGTACGGATAATGCGGGATCAAGTGTGCTGTCTTCTCCTGCGCCTTGCCCCTCGCACTATGACACCCATGAGTTCAGCGCCAAGCTCCGAGATCCTGTCCCGACAACCAGCATGGAGGAGATCTGCGGCTCCGCAGAATTGTCGCGAATGAGAAGGACATGTCGATATTATATTGTGCCACCTGGCCGAGGGATTGCGAGCGTTGCTGACCCTGTCTATTTCAGCCATGCAAACATAGAGTGGGGCTTTGAGGATCTAAAAGCTTATGGTTGATCCATGACTCACTTATTACAACCAAGATGCAGAACAGCCTTGTGACCGCGCATTGTCCGTTTTCCGCTCCAGTGAGGTGAGAGTCTCGCATGTTGTTGGCCCCGGCCTGCCGGCTAAGTTCGGAGAAAACGGGAGTTGGAGGCTTGCAGCTCTTGGCGCTGTATGGAAAAACCTGGGGTAAAGCAGCCGTTAATCTCGACGTCTCTTGGGACCTTAATCGGGTGTTTTGCATTTCCGGCAAAGAAGCTGCGGGGTGCATGACAGCCAACAACCGGCCCAATCACACAACAGCCGCGTTCCAGATCCGGTAGTCGTGCGGATTGTTGCTATGTGGATGTACAAGGACTCGATATGGCGCAAGCCCCTGAGACGAAGACGGAGAATACTATAAAGAGCAGCCCAAGGTTTGACATCTCATCCGCCGCTGGACCCCCCACAACAACCTCCTCGTTGTAGTACCAACTGCTGGAAGGCATCGTCATGGTTTCCTTCACCCTCCTCCTGACGGCTCTCGCCGCCGCTGTCACCGCCAGCCCACTTCAGGCTGTCCAAGAGCGTGGCATCCAGCCCGGCCAGGGCACGCACGATGGCTTCTTCTACTCGTTCTGGACCGACGGCCGCGGCTCTGTCGACTACAACAACGGTCCTCGCGGCTCGTACAGGGTGACGTGGAACAACGTCAACAACTGGGTCGGCGGCAAGGGCTGGAAGCCGGGCCCGCCCCGCAAGGTTGCCTACAACGGCACCTGGAATAACTACAACGTCAACAGCTGTAGGTCTACAACCCCCTTCCCCTGCTTTCCAATCTCCTCAGTCGCCTTGACTGATACAGAAGAACAACGCAGACCTCGCCCTCTACGGCTGGACCACCAACCCACTGGTCGAATACTACATCGTGGAAGCGTACGGCACGTACAACCCGTCCTCGGGTACCTCGCGCCTCGGCACCATCGAGGATGACGGCGGCGTCTACGACATCTACAAGACACGCCGCGTCAACCAGCCCTCCATCCTCGGCACCTCCACCTTTGACCAGTACTGGTCCGTCCGCCGCACCAAGCGCGTCGGCGGCACCATCGACACGCAAAAGCACTTCGACGAGTGGAAGCGCCAGGGCAACCTGCAGCTGGGCACCTGGGACTACATGATCATGGCGTCCGAGGGGTACCAGAGCAGTGGGTCGGCCAACATCGAGGTCAGAGCTGCATAGTAAGGTACGCTTACCTTTGGCCGGTTGGACCGTGGATGGCAGTGGGTGGTTCTCTCCATGGACAGTTCCGCCGCCATTGTTGAAACTGCTACGCTGTTTTGCGGGGAGAGCTTTGGTGTGAGGATGATGTGTAAACAAAGCACTCAGGCCAAATGAAGTCGTCTCGGGAAATGGGTTGAGATTGTGACCGTCCTTTATGCACTTCGTGCAGGCAATCTGAACTGAACCGTGAACGGAAAACCTGATCTGCCTTTAAGTGTCTGGCAGCTGTAGCAGCCACCGCAAAATATTCCCACCGCGCTTCGAGGTTCTTTCCTACACCGGAATAAACAGCGAGGGGCCACATCGTCAGGCTCGACCCGAAGCTTGACCCCAAGCGCAAGTGCAGGCTCTTCGACCTTTCCAACCAATTTATTGGACGCCACTGACACGGAATTCAGCCACCAGTCCGTCCGATTCTCGGCCCTCCCGTGTGCTTCGAGTAGTACCTTAGCCATGGCCACATCGGGCGGACTGACACACGGATCTCCCTCAACCGTGTGAGCTAAGCCTTGCCAGTCTGCATTTCCTCGAGCAACTCAACGAGCGCATTGCTGGCGAACTCCCGCCCAGTTTTTGGCTTTGAAGATGTGAAGAACCGCAATGTTGCAAGGTAGAATTCGGGACAGCCGGTATGTCACTTGCCTGGTGATATTGCATGCGGCGAAACTCGCTGAAGAGACCGTTGGCCCCTAGATAGAGCTCTTCAACAGCGTGGATGCTGTTGACCGGGGAGTAATTGCTGTCGTATGAGTAGTTGAAAGGGGGAAGATGCTCTAGATGAGTCGGCCCGGCCCTTTTTTGAGATGAGGGCATTCGTCCTGAGGAATGTGGGTGCGCTCATGCGGCGGGATGGTCACACAGACCGCGCCTGATGGATACCTGTTCGGCCCACTTTCATTCCCAAAGAGGTCGTTGTTCGTTCGCAGGATATGGCTGAGGCAGGTCTTGCACAGGTTACACAGAACCAGATCTAGCCGGCGGAGGCGACTAAAATCGAGGTCCAAAACACTGTGCATTCTTGGGCCGTCCGAATCGTCCGTCCCGAAGTTGGAGTTGTCAAGGTCCCCGTGATGGAAGCGCGTGAAAAGAAGTTGAAGCGTTTTGAGGCTTGGAGTGAGGTCCGTCAGGTCCGACAGGTGTTGCACATTGAAGCCGAAGTTGTCTCGCGCGAGGTACGGTGACCGAGGGCGAACGAGATCTTACATGGTGGGGATACCAGGGACCATATTGCATGCCCAGGCCAGAGTGGAATGCTTTGAGGTTGGGGCAAAGGCAGTTTGCAAGCCGAATGGAGAACCAGCAGCTCGTACTGTCCAAATATATGCACCGATCCGTCTATTCCCATTCCCTGGGAATGTAAACCGAACGGGCACCGAAGTTCTCTTGCTCGCTCCCAAACTCCCTCAAGTAGGAATACCATCTGCTTCCGAAGTTCTTCGCGCGTGCCATGATCTTATCAAGGTCTTGCTGGCGACTGACGAGCATCTCTACCGCGTCTCTCAGGTCTTTCCGCTCGACGAGGGTACGGACGAAACGATACACACACACACGCACACACACACAGATTATTCCGCCCGGGGGGCTTCACCCGAAAGGGCAACTAATCCACATCTACTAATACATTTCCTAACATGGATTCTGGTCTTCTGAAGCCCATACGTCCTTCCTCTTGCATATTCTCAATCAGCTGTGCGGGATTTATGGGATTCGACAGGGCGGCGAAATGCTGGAACAGAATTGGCTGGGCGAAACGCTGCATCCACTTGCACGTTTTCGAAATCGCAGACAGCGCAGCGAGGTTCTCCTCGAGCTCTTCTTGGTTGTTTGACTCTAATTCGCATGTCGGGCCGTGGAAATGACTGCAGAGCTCGCTGGGGATGGCAATCAGGATGGATGGTGGGAGGCAGGCAACGGCCGGAGCGGTCGCGGCGGGTGGGGCCGAGGTGATTGCGGGTTCGATGATGGCGCGGCGGGACTGGACTTCAGTATCCGCCATTTTGTCTGTGAATGCTGGGGTTCTATCGGCCGCGATCTTCAAGTTCCCAGTCGTCAAATGTCAGCGAAGTTTTTCGATGAGGAGAGTTCGAGAATGTTGGTGGATAAAAAATCGAACGCACCGAGTAGTCGTGGAAGAAGTCTAGTGCAATCGATTGCGAAGACTGGAGGATGGCGAAAAACTGTTCAAGAGTTGCTCGACCATGAAGCTAGGGAATAAATTTGAGTGAAGCAGTGATGGGCTGCGGTTCTCCATTTTTTAAGTAATATTGACTGCAGTCGACTCAGAATATATGCGAACTTCGAGAACCGGCAGGTCCCTCGGGCATCTAAGGTGCAATACCTGAAGCCTCAGAATGCACGGCAGTTTGCCCAACATGGACTCGGCAGCGGACTGATTGTATGGATGGGTCAAATAATGCTCCCGCTTCCTGCTTCATCACACGTTCCTCTGGGCAAACTGGACCTAGCGTACGCTGGGAGTTCGGACGGAACAGCAACCAGGTTAAGGGAATATGTTCATGTTGCAATCGCACAATCTTAACGACCCTCCTCCCCCGGCCTTGCCATCGCAGCTCGCTGTCGGAGTAAATATTGTATCGGAAGAACCCCGCCCGCCTAAACATTTGGATGTCTCGAATCCAGCCGGCATCTGAACTAACTCTATCACTGCTTTGAACTGACTGCCGCCTTCAGTTTGTCATGATACGTGGCAATGGTCAATGCCCATTGAGACACCGAAGACAGAGCATGACCTTCAGAGGCCGCGTTCACCGCCCGTACCGAGCCGCCAGACACCTCTTCAAAGAGACTTGTGTTATGATATTGGCTTGGATCTTCCTAAACAACCTCCATTTTCCGATTCACGCGTGGGAAATCGGCTAAGATCAGCCACGTACCTTACAATCACAAGCTCGCCAAACTCAACTGCGCCGAATGGTGCCGATTCCGCGTGTCCCATGAACCGCGGTTCCGCCAGCCAAGAAAGGTCACACACCAGATGTTGTTGCCTTAAGCCAGCAAAGGAGCCGCCGAAAACTGGAGAGATTGTCTGTGCAATGGCAGATAGAGCCGGCAACTTGTCCTCTTGTACGGTAAGCCCGTGTGAAGCGTAGTTCACGACGGTCTCTTCTCACGTCGTTCGGTCAATGGAAAACCTCTTCCGGGCATAGCCCGAGCGGCAAGACCACCTTGACGCTGCTCTGTGTGAATTCCACCACGCGGCGTGCAGCTCGTCGTCTTCCCAGGAAAACCAGCGCCATGGGTGCCGACACTCTCAACGAGCCACCATGGCATTGCATGTCCAAAAGACTCCCATGCCGGCAAATGCCAAAACCCTGGGGGACACTCAAGCCTCTTGGAGAGTCCAGCCCGGTCGTTGATGAGATGTCGCTTGTAGTGGGGTTTCTGAGGCTCCATTCGGTGAGGCTTGGTCAGGATGTCCGTGAGTTCGAGCGTCTCTTGCCTGGTGGCCACGAGAACAGAACCCAGGGTTTTGTCATTAACACGCACGGAGGGATGGCGTGCGCTCTAGGGGAAAGGATGGATTCAAGAAGCCCTGGTTGCATGATGTCCCGCTTGCGGCCGGTATGGTAACAAACGAGTTTCCATGAATGCGCCCCATTTGCGGCAGCTCTCTATTCTTGTCCTCTTCGTCGTCTTGGACGATGCAGAGCGAGTCAACCCATATGTATTCGAGATCGAGCTGCCTGACGACCTCAAAGGCGCCGAGTATCGTCTTGGGCAAGCTTGCGTACGGAATTTCTCCGGTGTAAGCTGTGACCGAGGCCTGACAGTCTGGAAAGGTTGCAGGTCACCCCAGCAGTAGCTGAGAGTTGCATACCAACCGTTCTGGGCCGTTGGTGAGTCGGAGACGTGCAGACTCGGGGGCGCCCTCCGGCGAGACCTGGATCAGCCTGGATGGCAGCAGGACAGACTCATTTCTCTGGCATTCAGAGTGCGACAAACTGTCTTTCTCATCCAGCATTCGCCGCACACTCGCGAGACTGTCAGGGTTAGGTGATGGGTATTTCCCAGGATGTACTCGGGTATGCGGAGCTTTGCAGCAGGATCCTAGAATTGTTGTTGAGCACAAAATTCCGTGCGTTCCGGTTTTTAGAGGCTTGTATGCCGACTTACCATCAGTTGTATGAACGTACCAACTGCAGTAGTACTGTACATTTGTTCTTTGTACTCCGCCATTTTCCCAAGACTTGACTCGATTCTCAATTGGCCTTTTTCGTGAATTTGTCCCTCGTACTTACGGTAGAACTCGAGTTTGTCGCCTCCAGAAAAACGCGGTGAATCATCCTCTCGCCGTTTTTCCCAGTCTTCCTCGATAAAAGTTTGGAGGATGTTTCGCATCATCCTCCCAGGAACGTGACGTCCCACAACGTTCCTGGCTGATAACGATGCACGGGTAGGCACACAGCCCCCCTTGCAGCCTTCTCGACATCCACTCGTATCTCCCGAAAATAAACCTCTTTGCCCCCGAAGATCTCGTAGCCAGAATCTTCTCGCGCGCCGTGCACGGTTGGACCTCCAGAATCGGCCGGACTGACCGGAGGAGTGAAGAGCAGCTGACAGGCCACACAGAGTGTCAAAGATGGGAAATCCTGAATTTAAGGCTTTTTGGCAAGAGATTGCTAGATCCAGTGGCAGAAATGCTCAAAGTAAGGTACTAGTAGGGTACGACTTGGGGAGACAGTCGAGTTGGAGACAAGTATTGACGGGGTAATGAGCTCTAGAAGAGAAGCATGGGTGTGGGTCAAACAACATTGAACCGAATAGGAGACTGCAATCTGGTTATAACTCGAATTCGGATCAATGTTCAGCTCCGAGGTGTCGACAGCGCCGCGAGAAACATGCTGCAGCCTGAAGGCTGACGAACCCAACATCTTTGACCCAATCATGCAGCATTCTGCATGGTTACCCAACTTCAGCTCATGTCAACGCAGTCGTGCTAAGCCACAGAATTGTTATTTTCATGCGCTTTATAGCCGCTGGCTAGTCTTGAAGAAACGGGATTCCAGAGTGGTCTAGCACAGGGGGATTGGATCAGACTCGGGGTGGAACGCATGTATATATCTGAGATTTTCAGGCACCTACACGAAAGGCGGATCACAAAAAATTGGTCAAGGATCTATGACATAAGCACCTGATAGTACCTTAGTCATTGGCAGTACCTGAACCATGTTCGAAGTGCCCAAGCCGTCGCACTGAGCTCTGACAACATCGACATGCGATGTAACTTTCCTTGAAAATCTTGCATCAGTTTCGGATAAAGTTCTTGAGGTTCACTTCTTCCATGGACGGAGACTCTCCTTGTTTCGTTTTATTATGGACTCCTAGCCCTGGGACCGCCGCGTGGAGCTGTTCTTGATGCGTGTATAAGCAACCTAAGATAAGGTACGGAGCATACAGATAGCTTTCTGGTCTGCTCGACGATTCGACTGGACCCTGGCAGACTAGCAAACCACATAGGTAGCACAGTAGAACCACTGTCCCGGATGTCCACCCGATCAAGATAATGCAAAGTCCACCGGTATCCACCAAGCCCAAGTCAACGTCTCCATTTCCCCACACGGGACCGTTACAGAATACCCACCTTGACTGCCGAACCCACTTCCCCGGTACCTATACCCGTTACTCGTTGAAGGCACCGTTGTACTTGACAGATGATTTCCAGGGAAGCACAGTCACATCGGTTTGTAAGGGTGCATCAACGTAATATACAACCAGCTGACCTCACACTTTACTCCGTAAGGGAAATTGACGCGAAACACTGTCAGGCGCAGAACAACTGTGACCGGAAGTCAAGCAAAAGCCGTACATAGTCCCGCTAGTCAGGGTTTGGGAGGAGCGATAAGGCCAGAACTCAAGATCGCAGGCTCTGGGATCGGCGATGCGGTTCTGGGCTGGACTATCTACTTCAAGTTGCGGTTTCATGTTGGCCCATGAGGCGCTTTGGCAATAACTGAGTCAGGAACCAGAAGTACTGCGCCGGCGCCCGGGATCCGTGCCCTGATCTCTTTCGTTGTTGCTTGTCCTTCCCTTCATCACTGTTTTTATTCCCGTCAAATCGAGAGCGGGATGAATACCTGTCAGGCAAGTGCCCTCACTAATCGAAGTGGAGAAAATATTCACGAACGATTTCTCGATGTCCAATGCTTGAGATACTACGGTGTACTTTCTTCGAATCGGAAACTTACCGACGAAGGACTCCACGACGAATGCTCATTGATCGTCATCCCATTTCATTTCCATTCGACGAACTGCGTCTGAACATGAACCACTGCGCACTGGTCGCACCTGAGAGACAGCTTGGCCAATTGAGACCGGCATTGTTTGCGAGGTGGCTGCCAACCAGCTGCTAATAGTCCGGTGTTTGGTCTTCTATGTGACACCCTACCTCCTTACTAGGAACGCAGCCGTTTCATTACTGCGCAGTATTGTGCTACATCAATCAAAAGGTGAGAAAGGCCGATGTGACTTCGCCTTGGCAAGGGGGAGAGGGCTGAAGGGCTTGAGAGGGGCAACAGGATCGCTGCAGGGGGTCCTCGCAAGATCGCCTTCAACCGGGAAATGCGCGACCCTTTCGGGACTAGCTGATTTTCTGAAAGTTCCCAAGCCGGCGCTTTGACCGCGGATTTCAGTCCACCGATGTGATCGACAACCCAGTCATGGGTGGCCTCGCTTGGGGGCTCGCAACCACCCCAGACTTTTTCTTTGCAAACTGGAGCCTTCCCCGGATTGCCCCAGAATCTCGCGATTCCAGAATCTTGGTTAGGCCCTTCACCTCAACAAGCGGACCGAGCGAAAGCGAGAAGCATGGATCCTGCAGCTTGTTTTTGTTAAAACATACCTCGGTTCCCCATGGCGGACGTCGACTTCCCATGCTCAGCCAGACTCGCCCCTCCTCCCTCCCCTTGACGGCGATTTCGAGTTGATGAACCGGCCCTGGGCTCCACTCCGGTTGCATTGCGACGCAGCCGTGCCGTCCGTCCTGTCCCGCCCGTCCCTCGTCATGTCGCCGACGATCTCATCAACCGTTCTCATGCATCTCCATGTCTCGGCCATGACACGACGCGACGACTCGGCACCCCGCGAGGTGCCAAACTACGCCGGGCGGCTGCTCTGGGCGATATGGACCTTGACCATCGCCTCCGCAGTATTTCTCGCCTTACGAGTGTATTGCCGTCTGTCGCGGAATCGGTCACTCTGGTGGGATGACTGGTTCTTGATTGCCAGCTGGGTACGGTCCATCTACTGGCATCCCGTCTTCCCGTCTGGTCAGCGGTGTCCTGAACTAATCCGAGCTTCCGAGCGCAGGTAACCGTTCTCGTCTCGACCGCCCTGCTCACCGAAGCGACCAAATGGGGCGTCGGCCTGCATTACGACGACATGGAATTGGAAAAGATGCCTGTCATGTCCCTCCTTTCGTACATCGCCGGCTTTTCCACCATTCTGGGAGCGGCATGGAGCAAGACCTCGTTTGCTGTGACGCTTCTACGAATATCGGAGGAAAGGTGGACCAAGTGGCTGATCTGGTTCATCATTATATCGGTCAACGTCGTGCTCGGCGTATCCGCTACGATTCTCTGGATTTCATGTTGGCCGATACCGAAGCTCTGGTACTACAATATGGAAGGGACGTGCTGGCCAAAGCATATCGTTGAACAGTATCAGACTTTCACGAGCAGTACGCAAGCCCTGGCATACAAGGGTATGGATGTTTTGGGAGAACCCGCTGACGACGGAGACAGTCTATTCCGGCACACTCGATATCGTGCTTGCAATCCTTCCCTGGAAGATCATCTGGGCTCTGACGATAAACAAACGGGAGAAGCTCGGTGTAATGGTCGCAATGAGCATGGGTACTCTGTAAGTATCACAATCCTGCTCTTCATCTGCGCCGTTTACCAACTCTCTACGGTCCAGCGCTGGCATCGTCGCCTTTCTGAAGCTCATGTCCCTCGACGACATCTCGGATGATACTTGTAAGTGCTGTCCTTCTTTGCATCTTGTCCTCATCCGAGTTATTCAGAGTTGAGTCTGACAACGCAAAAGCTACGGCTGTGGACATCAAAGTCTTTGGAACCGCTGAACCCGCAATTTCCATAATAGCGGCGTCGATTCCTGTCCTTCGAGCCTTCATTCGAAAAAATGCCACCAAGAATCCGCGGTCGGTCACATTTGTTCACCTCTCCGATTACCCCCGTTCGCGTTCTCAACGGTCAATCACTTCCGCGAAGAAGGGGTCCGATGAAGTTCTCGTGACGAATGCTTCAAGGATGTCGCATACCGCAGCCGACAACCAAAACTTTGCCTTGCAGGACCGGGAACCTGGGACAAGCGCTGCCGGGACATGGGGTAGATCTTGGTATGACTTTGACGCCTAACCCAAACGTATTGATGGAAGAGCAGTTCGCTAACAACGCCATAGAAACTTCCTTGTTATATCAAACCAATTTAAGCAACTACTTTCTGGTGTTCCAACCCAACCCAGCCATGAGCGTGAATGAACAAGGCCGCGATCTACCGCAACCCGATGGCCATTCGCCGCAGTCGTTGAAGAGCCGGCGTCGTCCACTCCTAGCCACCCCCGCGTACCAAATCCTCTCTCAGCGACCTCCCGCCACCTTCCAGCCGTCTCTCCTGAACGTAACCGCACCGCCTCTCCGAGGTGGAGGTCAAGCAACTTCCGCCATTACGTGGATGACACATGACTGGGCCATCCGAGACTCAAGATCCAGGCTTGACAGACAGTTACAGCCTTCAAGACACGACTTCGGCGGGCTAGGGTGACCCGTTTCGACCGAATTGATCAAAGTTCAACTTGATGAGCTGCCCTACACTGGCATTCCCGCGTTGAGGGCTGGAACGCCTCCGGGGTGAACTCGTTCCGTGGACACTGCCAGTGATCCCCGCAACATACCAGGTCCCTAGGGTACTTAGCCTTAGGCCATTATCGGTTTGCTGCCCCGGCCCGGAACATCTTGCTCCATCAACTTGGGCATCTCCACCGGATACTCTGCGTCAAAAACCGATTCGTTCTGTGTTGTTGCCCGGGCCCACTACAGTTCAACCCCTGTTGGTCTCCATCTGTCAATAGCTAGGGGATTTCACCTCGATTGCGATTTGTACTGGTATCAACCGTGTCGGCCTGTAGCCTTCCAACTTCCAAGTCAAAAACGGGAGATATACTGATACCAGTACCCCTCCAACTCGTCGCTGTGCCTGGTTTCAGAGGCTTGTTTTCCCGCCAACCAGGTGCTTGCCAGTCAAGGGTGCCATGCGCGGGACGCCGGTCGCTTCCATGCACGGCATCCCATTCCAAAACCTTGGCGCATGCGACATTGCAGGTTACCGCAACGACCACGTATTCGGGTTCGGAGGTGTCCCATCCGCACACCTGCATCAGCGCCTTCCTCAACCGGACATCGGATCTCAACGTCTTTGCCGGAAGGAGTTCTGCCATTCCTTATGCATAATTACACGGCGTTCCCTAAGGTCGCCAGTTCAGGTATCTGGTCGAGGCCGCGGGCTTCACGACGTTCACGCTTGAAGCGTGGTCTTTTCAACGGTTGTGTCTTCCGGCGGGTTGACCTTACACTACGTTGAAACTGGGATGTTCCTTAGCTGTGCGAATTGCGCGGCTCACGGCGGGCGAGGATCTGTCGGGCCGCTTGACGACCCGTAGCGGCATCCGCAGCCGAGCCTTCCGTCCGGAAAACCTGACCTGTACCGGCATCCGCAGCCGAGCCTTCCATCCGGAACACCCATGTCTTGAATGGAAGCCCCGACGGCTCACCCCTGGTTGCGGAGTCGACAGTTGGCTACGGTTTGGCAGACAGGTCAATATAACTGGCATGAGGACCGAACTGCCACCGTTGTAAACGGCGTTTGAGTGTGGCAGAAGGATTTCACAGCTCTCCGTCGTTCAGACAGCATAACGACCCCCTTCCGTCAAAGCTTTGCCCCCAGCTCCCCTTCTCCGGCATTCGACTTGACCACCTTGCACATATCATCATGCGACTGTCCGTTCTCATCCTCGCTCTCGCATCCGTTGCGGCTGCGGCGCCATCATGCCAGCCTCGAGGTCAAGTTCGCTATCTGGGTAGAGTGAATCCAGCGACCAAGGAGTTGAGCTGGCCAAGCACCGGTGTCTCATTCGCCTTCACGGGAACGTCCGCTACCATTGGCATTACCGCTGTCAGTGGCACCAATAGTGCGGACTTGATCATCGACGATGGCGAGCCCGTTCTCCTCTCCAACTTCGTGGCCGGCACTCCCATCTCCACGCCGACCCTGCCTCGGGGTAACCACACTGTCGTCCTTCGCAGACGCTCCGAGCCCGCCTACGGCTCCATGTCTCTCGGCGACATCACCACCGACGGCCATCTTCTCCCTGCCCCGGCAGCTCCGAAACGGCAGATCGAAATCATCGGCGACTCCATCACCGTCGGCTACGGGCTTGACGGCACGCATCCCTGCACCAACACCGCTGAGCTCGAGAACAGCCCGAAAACGTACGGTGCCCTGGCCGCCAATTCGCTCGGCGCCGACTACAGCATCATCGCCTGGAGCGGCAAGGGCCTGGTCCGCAACATCGCCTCGGCCACCCCCGATACCAGCCCCGTGATGCCGCAGCTCTACACCCGCTACGGCGCCGAGGACGCCGACAACAGCTACCCCTTCCCGGCCTCGTGGTCCCCCGACGCCGTCGTCATCAACCTCGGCACCAACGACTTCAGCTACATTGCCTGGGACGCGTCCGGCCAGCCTTACAACGCGCGGGCAACCCTCAACATGACCCAGTATGTCGATGGCATGGTCCAGTTCGTCCGGAATATCGAAAAGCACTACCCGGCCGCGCACTTCTTCCTCGTCAGCTCCCCGATGCTCAACGACGGCTGGCCGACGACGGCCGACGCGCAAAAGACGACGCAGGTAAACGCGCTCAAGGAGGCGGTCGCGCGGCTCGGGGCGGCAAAGGCCCATTTTGTGGACTGGCCTTCGCAGGGGGCCGAGGTCGGCTGCGACTATCACCCTAATGCGGCCACGAATGCGGCGTTTAGCGCTACGCTGGCCGAGGTCATCGCTGGGGTGCTGGATTGGTAATCAGGAGGCAGTGCCAGAACGGTAGGCAAGTCGTGATTCCAAAACTGACACATTCTGGAAAATATTGACTGACATCCCTGAGCAGAGTATACCTATGGTGCTGCGAGTACCTTTTGCGCAGTGGCAAGGGGGCCTCACGCCGACCGGATTTAGAGGATGAAGAGTGACGTGTCCCGATAGGTTCTCAGGCGTTCACCAAGGGTCATGGAGATGACTCGCCGAATCCCTGAGCATCATATAGGGAAGTCCAACTCGGCCACTCGGTTTCCGAGTTTGCCTAAGCCTCTATGGTATCTAGGTAAGCTCTATGGCAGGTTTTGTTCTCTCAGTGCCGCGGCCTTATATAGGGTGTATAATTCCGCTTTTCCCCAACTTCTTGTCCTCGAGGACTAGGCATTGCGAGCTGCACTCGGGAAGCACTAGTTCCCTACGGCGCAGGGACCTGACCTGAGATAGACAGGGCACTGCTCCTCTAGGTAATTGAGTTGCATCTACATGAAGCCATCTCAGTACAGTTCTACGATTCCAGTATTCTTTCCCTACTGCGGTCTAATGCACAGCAGTGGTTCGACATATTTTTCCGGCAGTAGTGTGTTGACTGCTTCCATGTCTCTCCTGCTTGAATCGTCTACTTTCTACCCCTTTCGCTGTCCTTCTGCCTCTTTCTTTTTCATCCCAAGGATTTGCCTCCCTTCATTTCCGCTCTGCTTGACGCTTGAAGACTTCTCGGACTCTCGCCCCTTTTGGACCTCTCTCGTTGGTATTGCTGTAGTCGAAATTGTTCTGCGGCTAGTGTTTAGACGATCACCCGGGGAACTCGGAGGATGGAGGGAGGCGCTGTTGGAGCGAGGTTTGGGTTGAATCGGCAGTTTTGGGTCGATGATGCTTCTGATGCGGCATTAGAGGGTTTCTGGCTTGGGCCTTTCATCCATGGGTGCGCCAGAACTTGTCTTGCCGTGATGCGCTTCTGGGGATAGTAGTCGAAGATCTTACAGAGGAGATGGGTGAAGAGCGCTGCGTCGTCCTTTCCAGTGAGCTTCAAGTCCCGAGCACTGAACTTGTCGTGCGCGGCTCGATTCCAAATGGTCGGAGTATGGAGACAAAGCCACTCTCTCCCACTGGCTGTCTTGCCGGAGCTCACGGGTCTCTGCGGTTCGCGAATAACGCCCACCTGGGTGTCGAGAGTAAAACCCATTACGTTCAGTGAAGTCACCAAGTGTCGTATATTCGATGCCCCGTTGCAGAGGCTGATGAACGGGATAACCATCCCGAACTGGAAATGACATCCACTCTCGTGGTAGGCTTCCTAGTATCTGGCACATTCTTGATGCTATGGTTAGTGGAGAGCTGCCCATGCAGTTCTGAAAAAGGGCCACTGGATCTCTCAATTCGTATAAGATGCGTCCTCGGGCCCAGACGTCGGCGAGCGGTCTATTGGTCAGGGTGAAGACGTTTTTAGCTGCCATGTATTGGTGACGATGTGAGATAGCTGTATGGGCGCGTTTCTGGTAGAGAAGGGCGTGGTCAAAGTCGATGATGCAGAGCCTAGCTGATAGGCAGTTTGACGGAAGACGTCCGAGATTGACCGGTACGACTACATATTCGGGTGCGGGTTATGGGCTCTCCGGGAAGAAGAACTCGAGAATTTGTATCCGCGGCGGACCAAATATTTGATCGAGTTGCTCCTCCATCAAGTAATCGAGTGGGTTGGCGAGGCGGATGGCAATATTGCTGAGTGTGAAGTCTAGGTAGGATGTGATGTTTAATAAAGTGACTCGCTGCGAGATTCGGAGGGCAACAGTAGCTTACCTCCATGACAGACTCCGAGGGCATGCATGGCGCCGAGCGCCCGAGCAAGCAGTTGTGCGAAATTAAAATCCGTGTGATGACTGTTGGAAGACTTTGGATTGCTAAACTTGGGTCTTTAGTACTAAAGAAACCGCGTTTGTCTGGGCCCTAGCAGTCCGGATAGGATGATGTGTTGTTTCTTGGTACGGAACAAAGTCAAGGGGCAAGGTCAGATGCATGCGGTCAAACTCGCCGATAATATTCTCACTCCCATGCGTCCACTAAGTCGGACTCATGTCTCCCTCCATCAGCATTCAGCACCCAAGCAACTTCAGGTCATGTCATTGCTTGGTCCTTGCTATCTGCAAACGTCAAATGCGCTGTAGATAGAAAGCTCCATGAGTGGTATGCTGCCCTCAAGGAGCGTGCGGGTACCGACAATCTCAAAGACCGTCGCCGAGCGCTCAAGCGCTATAACACTGCTATCAACATCTTCAACCGTAAGCCGAAGACATACAGGACTGGCTCTCAAACTGGGAAACAGCCATTGGCGAAGGTACTTGGACCTGTTTCGCTCCCAGTGATACATGTACACAACACGGCCACAGTCCTTGTCAGTTTCTCGGGCTTGCTCTGCCCTCAGACCTACGGTCATGCTCCACCACGCTCTCCCAATAGCAAAGTTCATTGCCATAGCATGGCGAGCTCGCTTCACCCGCGATCTCCGTATTATCTCATTCGGTGCCCTCACAGAGAGCACATAATGATCCGACTACTGGAGTAGCTATGCCAAGTATGTGACTTGATAGAGCTCTTGTAGAATACACCCTTGAACATGTAGATGTCTTTCACCTCCAACTACACAAATATATCGTTAGAGACCGGTTCAAGCCTTATCTTGCTCCTCCGCTGTACTGAGCCATATATTTCTAGTGGTCCAAGCCCAATCTAGTGCCTGGCCTTGCCAGATCAACACCTTCCATGTAGATTTTCTTACAGTGCCGCGACAACGCCAGCGACACCCAGCACGACGGCAGCCGCAGCAGCGACGAAACCAGTCTCCCTGGGCGCCGCAGCACCACCAATGGACGAGCTGGTCGTCGTCGTAACAGCATTGGTGTTCTCTCCCCCACCTCCTCCCGTACTCTGCGGCGGAGCAGTGGCACTCCTCGCCCCGGTCTCAGTCTCCTCGTCATCCCCTGCCGTACCAGAAGTCGAAGTCGACACCGCCTCATCCCCACTCGCCGTCGCGCTTGTCGACACCCTCGTCCTGGTCGTCGACTTCGCCGCAGTCCCCGTCCTCGTCCCCGAACTCAGCATATCCTCATACACATCCACCAGCACCTGCACAGCTCGCGTACAGCTCTCGGCATTGGTGACAATTAAGAACTGCATCATAGCCGAGACCTCCCCGCCGCACTCGCTCGCAATCGAGCGTGCCTCGTCCGCCACGCTGCTCGCCCAGGAATGGACCTCGCTCGTGTAGCTGTCATACGCCGAGCTGAGCGAAGCCGGAGGCGTGATGCTCGCGCTCGCGGCGCACAGTGTCGTCAGCGAATCGTCGATCCCTGCCGTGGCCGTCACCGCGAAGCTCTCGCCGATGCTGCGCAGCAGCGTGAAGAGGTCGCCGTCGGTCGGGGTCGGCGCGTCCTGCGCGAGTGAGAGGTACTCGCTCATGCACGACACCGACTTGGCGCGGCTGCCGGTGAGGGAGAATTGCTGGCGGGGCGCGAGGCCTGGTGCTGGGACGGCGAGGAGGCCGGCGCCAGGGGTGATTAAGGGTTGGGCCGGGGCGGGAAATGGGTTGGCTAGGGCGAGGGTGGCGACCGCGAGTGCTGTGGTGTGCATGTTGGTGGTGATGGGCCGATGGTTATGGTGCGCTGGGATAGGAAGTTGGACGACTGATGATGGGTGAGGATTAGAGTGGGCAGAGCAGGTCTGCCTTGCATTTAAGTTCGTATGGAAGGTGCGGATTTTCAGGCCGTATTCCTGGATTTGCTGTCTACTGTGTGAGCTGCACGAGGTGACGCATGGCGGGTGAATTAATTGAATTGATCTTGAAGGGCAGGGGTGAGCAATTTCTTAACACCCTAGCGAACCAACAACCCGTCCTCGAACTTGCAGGTTGAAGGAGTGGTTGGTCGGGGTGGACGAGAGGATGTATCAACTTTCCAACAATCATCAGGGATGGACCCGGCGATGGCATGGAGCAGGAAAAGAATATATAAGTTAATCGATCCTCCAAGTCCCAAAATTCATAGTTCACTCCAGGAGGACCGCGCAACTCTGCTAATGCCAGTGAAACCATAAGGGCCGAGAGCCACAGTGGTACAGGGTTGCTGTCCCGACCACATCTGTATTCTTTATTGAGAGTAGCACCGTGACAACCCATACTACCCGAAGCTGCTGTCATCTCAGAGCGCAGTGCCAAGCGTCTGATGGGAGATGCTTTCCTGCAAGGTGCTTTATTTCTTATTGATGCATGTGCTGCAGCTGCTGCATTGATTGCTCCACCGCACCCCTGAACCGAATCCTGTCGGTGAGCGGTTAGAGAGGCCTTGGCCAGCATGGCTTGCTCTGCCCAACGGTTCAGCACTCAGCCGGCCGGGTGGTGACGGATTGGCGGTCTTGCGAAGACAGCGCCAAGCAAGGCCTAGGCATCGAGAACTCTCCAGAGGGACTTGTGTTTGGAGACGGCGAGCCACCCGTGAGTGGTAGGAGCTTACTCGCCGGTACTGCTGCTGACAAGAAGTGCCTGGTAATACCAAAATTGGGTACACAACGAGACAACCTCAGCGGACTTCCAATACAGTTCACTTACAGGCATGTGAGCCGGCTTTAGGCTCCTCCACATCCTCCCCGGCAGCCGCCAGGACGACGTCCAGTGTCTGCTTGTTGCCTGCGAGTTGGCGGCCGAGGCCGTTCGGTTTGAGGCTCTCTCGTATGTTTGGGGCGACCCCTCCCGGAAGACTCCTATCCAGATCAAACGGGCTCACCCTGCACATCGGCGAGAATCTCAGGAGTACGCTCCTCAACCTTCGGGCTCGCCGATAAAGCTCCGGTCGTCTGGGTGGACGCCATCAGCATCAACCAACAAGATCCCAAGAGAGGGTCCAACAGGTTCGCCTCATGGGGGATATTTATCGCGGGGCAACTCAGAGAGTGTTGTGGTTGGGGGACGCCGTCAGCCATCCCGGCCGGGATAAGGACACGGCGCGTGCTTTCCATGTCGTCAAGAGACTTGCGCAGGACGCGGCGGACGTCAGGAGGAACCCGCTCAGAAAAGTCGAGTACCAAAAGGGTGCAGTCTTCGACGAATTCAAATTTGACGGATCCGTGGAGAGCATCTTCTTTGAAAATCCGTGGTGGCGGCGAGCGTGGACGGCTCAGGGAATCGTCCTGGCCAGGCGGGCGCTGCTGGTCAGCGGTCGCTACCAGGTCGATGGGGACCTGTTCCGCTCGGCCATGCATCACAGCGCGGCTTTGGGCATAGCGCCTTGGAACCACTTAGTCTTTGGAAACTATGTCGATCCTCCCACGACGCCGTTTTGGAAGGTATAGGCCATCCGAAAGCTTGCCACCGTCGCGAATCCAACCCCCGCCGACGAACTCCTTTCGTACCTGGTCCGGACCTGGAGCCGTCATGCCACTGATGCGCGAGACAAGATCTACTCGGCCTTGGGTTTCGCCAACGGCAGGCTAAGCGCTCTGGGGATTGCGCCAGATTATCGAAAGCCAGTTCGGGATGTCTACCGAAACGCGCAGAGGAGACTGCTGGAGGTGTCCGGAAATCTGGACATGCTCGGGCTATGCTTCCCGTTCACAACACCCGGGACCTTGTGGTTGCCCTCTTGGGTCCCGGACTGGGGCCCGGCCAACAGGATGGCTTGACCGCTGATGATGGATGCTCATGGTGACCCGCGGAGAACCCATGCATCGCCGGGATTCAAAGCCGCACGTCGATGGGAACATGATGGAGAATGCTTGGTTCTTCAAGGGCACGTCATAGACACCATCTTGACCCTCGGACCCGTCCAGCACCATTATGACGACCGAGGTGGGATAATGATTACATATATGCTGACTTGGAGGAGGACGGCGCGTCCAAAAGGATTTTCTCCGATTTCCGCCGCGACAAGGCAAAGGAGGCCGGACACATATTCGACTACCTTGCCTTAGCGTCCCTCACTTGGCGGCGTATCTCGAATGGGAAGAGTTTGCCAGAAACCTGAGGTCAACAAACCCCGACAGCTCCGGCACTGGCAGCCACGTGTCGATTCTTGCCCAGACCCTCTGCACGGAAACGTTGATGCCTGGCGGATACCATGCCCCCCAGCAAGTTTCCCAGGCGTGGTTCGACACCCTCTCCCCGATGGAGAGGCTAATGACTACGGGGCTGGACAGGCCATCAAGGGTTTTCAATGGCGTTGAGCTTGCTGGGGCTCCTCAAGAGCACGTGGCATAGCCATGGGGACTTCGTTCCGTATCTGGCTCAAGCAACGGATCGCAGACTGGGCAGCACAGGTGAAGGTTACCTCTGCCTTGTTCCCATGCAAACTTGGGTTGGGGACCAGCTATCTATCCTGAGAGACGGTCAGATCCCCGTTGTTCTCAGCCGACCCCTAGGAAATGGCTGTATGCAGTTCATTGGCGAGGCTTATGTTCATGGCATTATGGATGGAAAGGCTTCTCAGGAATAGAGGTGCAGCGAGATCTCAAGATTAGGGGATTTCAAGGAGGGGACTGTTGATTGCTGATTGTGTTATGCATGTCTGCGTCAAAACTCCACGGTTAACCGACGTCTATCCCAACGTCGTCTATCTAATTCAACATGATATCGTACCCGTCCCTGTTGATGCGCACCTGCTCCCCTCCTAGACCGTACTTACGCCTAACTAGCTCAAAGATGATCAGACCGGCACTGGTGCTCGGCACCTGGCGGATGGTGTTCCACCAGAAGCCCCGGTACAGCCACTGGCGCATGCTGAGGCCGGCCGCTTGGGCTTCACCAACACACTCCGCCCAGGTGACCCGGTAAGCATCGCGGTAAGCTTTGAACATCCGGTATTTCGCTGGCGGCTTTGACAGCGCTTCGTCAAACCCAACCTCCCGCCTGAGCCTCCTCGCTTTGGCGTCCAACGACTCAAGCCGTTCCCAATGCTCCGCCTGGATGTGCGACAGCGGGTGGAGCACAACCTGCTGCATCACCGAGGCGCCCATGCCCGCGAGCAACAGGAAAGCCGGCTCGATGGCATAATGCGGCCGGATGATCGTCGGCATCCCGGGATTCTCCTCCGCGATTACCTCCCCTCCGCCCCCATCACCAAGGCCCGGCCTCCTCCGGGATAGCAGCACGACGGCGTCTTCGTTGAGCGACCCATAATACCACGCCACAAAACTGTAATAGCCCTGCGCCTTGAGGTACTCAAACACGCTAAAGAAAACCGCATTCCCAAAACTATCCTTCAAAAACGACAGCCCCCACCCGGCAAAGATCCCCCTCACCCCGATCTCCTTCATTTTCTCAGCACTAAATGCCCACACACTCTTAATCGGCCTTCCCCTATTCCCATTACCATTACCAGTACCTCTAACAGCGTTCCCACTCCCCGTCAATCCCCCTCCTCCCGCACCTGCTGCCCCAACGCCAACCCCGTTCCTAGCATCCCATCTAGCCTGCACAGCATCCAACGGCGCCGCGACGACGCTCTGGATTGCACCCGCCAGTAACCCGGCCGCAAACGTCTGCGCCGGCGCGGGAGGCGGGTACACGCGCTTGCTCGCGAGCGCGCTGTCCGGGTGCAGCCGCCCCAGGACCTGCAGGTAGCTCGTGTAGAGCACGGCGCCGACGCCGACGTTGGCCAGCAAGGGGGGCAGGATCTGGTCCGGCACGACGCGCCAGCCGTGGTGGCGGACGGCGGACGCTAGGACGGCTGGGGTGGTGGACCGCAGGCGGGAGTGGAACCAGTGCAGTAGGAGGGCTTTAGTAGAGGAGGATTTCGTTGTTATCTTGCCGGTGGAAGAGGGTGGGATAGGAGAGGTAGACCGTACTGGGTCGGAGGAGGACTGCAGGTGGTTCGATTGCCGTGCGGCCACGTGCTCCTGCTCCTGCAGGGTGCGGACGTAGGCGAGGTAGTCGACGCGCGTCCGGAAGAAGGCCTTGACCGGGGCGCGGAAGTAAAATGCGACGGCCTGGGAGGTGAGAGCGCGCACGCCGGCGGCCGAGGCGCCGGTTGCGGCGTTGCTGCTGGGGGCCTTCTCCGGGAGCGGGGTGTTGTCTGGGATGGCGGGGAGGAGGCCTGGGTAGAGGGTGCCAGCGCCAAGGTTGAGACCGAGCGTGTCCTCATCCGATGGCGGAGGGGAGAGTGGACTTGGTGATGGTGCCGTGGCTGGGAGGGAGGAGCCGTTGTCACCTCGGCTGCGGTGGCTGGGGAAGGACATGCTGCGGGTGCATTTTTTATTCTTCTCGCGAGTCTCGCAGTCTGCAATGCTGTCGATCTCGGTGAGGGGATTGCAACGCTAACTTGGCCGTGACCATGAATCTTCGTTGCCACGTGGGTGAAGCGTGTTCAGAGTCCGGCGCAAGGCAATGCGGCAACGTTGGAACCAAGGCCAGATCCGTGACCGAGCCTCAGATATGGTTGTGTTTCGCGCTGGATTTAACCTTGCCGATGTGGGGGAGTTTCTCGGTAGTTGCGTTGGCGAGCCAGTTGGTTGCCAGGCGGTAACGGCTGCCAAGGCTCCCGTCGTTCTCTTGACTTTGAGCAGAGAAACAGACAACATCCCATTATTAACGCGGCATCAATACTCTCTTGGGATATATGAATTAAACAAATCTACTTTAAAGAAAACAGACAAAGTAGATGCCTGAGAATGGGCGACTGGACCAAGTCCCGTTCGGATGAGAACCAGGCGAGGTTAGACGGCCTGAATAAGAGACAGGGTTAGGGCTGGTCCAAGTCACTGCAATGCAACGGCTCTCCATCCACAAAGGTCGCAAACTCGACCGAAATCAGGGCAGAAACGGACATTTCCGATTTCTTCTAAACTCCAGGTGTTCGGCTTGGACTCCCAGGTGGCGCATCGATTGGCTTTCGCACGCCACAGAAACGCCAGCGACAAAGACCAAAGGTAACGTCCCTAATTCCTCCAGGGGCCACTTGGCGGAGCATGTCAAGGCTTGGCATCAAACGGCCACAATCCGGCATTGCTCCCTTTGATTGGTTCGAGCATTGCAGCCAAAATGCGGCGTCAATGCAATGCCCAGGAAGCTGACTGGGCAAGACAGCCATGAGCCATGCGGGCCGATAGTTCATGAACTTCATGCCACCTTCCCGATCTTCAAGTTCTGCCCCGAGATGGCGAATGGGATTCGCCCGTCGCAACATGCCAACTGTGGGAAGACATTGTCTACTGTCACACTAGGCTGTCATCTACAAAGCACCAAGAATCGACAGGGGTGAGGAAATGGACGGCCAAGAACTTCTCTCGTACGAATCAGCATGAAAGTAGTATATAGGCACCTCAAACCTCCCTGAGGGACAGGACTCAGGGGGCGACTCTGGCTGTGCACGCTTCTTACCACCACTAGAGCCAGCCACAGTCATGACCAGACTCTTCCCCAGCAGCCTGCTGCTACTCGCAGCGGCAGTTCCCGCCATCCTCGCTGCGCCCCCTCTCCTCCTCCCCCGCGCGCCAACACCACCTACGGCCCTGCCCCAGCGCGCCACCGCCAACGACCTCCGCTGGCAACCTTCGCTGGACTTCGACACGGACGGCTGCTACAACGTCCCCGCCATCGACGCCCAGGGCAACATCGTGCAGGGCCTGCCTCATTCGTGGACGGGCACGTCGACCGACTGCCGCGACCTATCAGACCTGAACAACAACAACGTCTACTCGCGCCAGCGCTGCAACAACGGCTGGTGCATCTACCTGTACGGCTACTACTTCGAGAAGGACGTGGCCATCCCCAACTTCCTGGACACGGGCCACACCCACGACTGGGAGCACATCGCCGTGTGGGTGCGCCAGTCGACGGGCCGGGCCGAGTACGTCGCGGCGTCGCAGCACGGCAACTACGAGATCAAGCCCGCCGGCGAGGTCCGCTGGGATGGGGACCATCCCAAGATGGTGTACCACAAGGACGGGGCGAGCACGCACTGCTTCCGGTTCGCCAACGCCGACGACGACCGCATTGAGAATGCGAAGGGGGTGTGGTTCCGCGGCGCGCTTGTTTCGTACAATGGCTTTCCGTCAACGGCCGTCAGGGAGAAGCTGTTTGCGTACGACTTTGGGGCTGCGACGATTGATTTCAAGGACTCGACTTTTGCTGGGGCCATCGCCAAGGCGAAGCCGTCCGCTGTCACGTTTGATGTGAACGCTGATGTTGGCTCGCCAGGAAGTCCTTGAGTGTTGGACGGAAGGACGGATTCAATTGGTTCTTGGACATGATATATTGGATAGAGTCTGTCCCTCCCCTTTGTATGAGATGGTTCTTGATTAACGTTAGAAGAAAACCTGAGACTGGGGCTGATCTGCGCAGAAGATCCGAGAAAAGTGTACCTATGTGAGATTTACAGGGACGATCTCAGGGAGCTTGCTAACTGCTATCGGACTCGGACAGTCGCAATATTACAGATGTAGCGTTAAAACTTTGTACGCTGTCAATGAATAACTCATCATAGTAGCATCATGGGAAATTTCAGACAGTCATCGGTATGTATACACGGGGGTTTGTTTATAACTATGTTTCGGTTGACGGTCAATGTGAAATAAAACATAAGGTAACATTTGAGGCTCAGCCTATTGCATTAAGTGTGCAATCAAGGACATCCGAGATGAAGAAATACACAATTACCGGGCCTGCAATTTAGTTACTTGGGGGCTCTGGGCTGGTCTTTGCACAGGCAGCCCCCTTACAGGTACACAAATCCAATGCCATGGCCACTCCTCAAACACAGGTGTTTGTTTCCAAGTACCATTTACGAGGAAGTAATATGTACCGCGAAGCAGAATATGTACAGGTGAAGCAAAGCCAGCAAGCAGCTGAAGTCATCCGTCCGCGGTTGATGCTCGCCCCTTTCCCCAAGAGCAACTCTCCCGCCTCATTCCATTATCCAGCTATTGGCTCTGTTATAGCAGCCTAGCACTTGACGACCGGGGGACCGGGGTTGATGTAGCTCGTAGGCGTAGGCCAGTAGAGCTGGAACAGGATGCCCGGGTCGGTGGCCTTGTAGGCGCCGGGGAATGAGACGAGCGAGCCCGTGTTGAGCGTGCCGGTGCCCCCCGTAACGTTGATCTGGGCGCACGAGATGTACAGCTGCGCCCCACCGAGGCTGCCAGCGCTGTGAAGAGCGATGTGCTCGACGCGGAGCAGGTACTCGCCGTTGGCGACGCAGCTGGGGATCTGCACCGACACCTCGGTCTTGCCGTCGCTTGGCCAAGTGATCTTGCTCGTGCCGAGTCCGGACGGTCCGTCCTGGTAGATCTTGAACCAGACGGCGCCCTTGCCGTCAAAGGTCGCCGCCGTCTTGCCCGCGGGCACCTTGGCCAGGTAGAAGTGGAGCGGGCCTGGGTGGCCGATGCTGGTGTCGACCGTAAAGGTCACGGTGCCGCCGGCTTGAACTGAAACGGTCTTGGGGGCGCCCTTGCCGACGTCGCGCTCGTAGCAGGTCATCTGTGGGGTTCACCGGTGTTAAGAGCGTTTCATTTCTGGCTTGGAAGAGGAGTAGACTGGCATACCGATGCAGAGTTGACATCTTGGACGGGCCCGTGCGAGTAGTGGTTCTCGGTGATGCGGATCGTCTCCCACTCGGCCGAGGTCACGCCGTTGACCTTGGTCTTGGGGAAGGTGTCTTGGCTGTTATTAGCATCGGTTGTGGGCGAAGGGTTGCGCGGACCTTACAGTGGGCGTTAGCTCCAGCTGCTGCAAGCAGCGCAATGGTCGTGGTGAGCTTCATGGTATGAGACTGCGAACGATAGTGTACTGGAGCCGAGTGCTGATCAGAGACAGGCAGGAAGGATCTCCAGGATGGGGCTTGAATGGGTCTTTATAGTTGCTGATCTCCCGGCCCCCCCCCCGGACCCGGACATCGGACTGTGTCAAGTCATCTTCGCGCTCTCTGGTACTCTTCCCTGCCCATTCCATGCCTCGTCGTCTGCGGGTTGCATCCGCATGGGGCAATGCAACTGCAGGTTGTAAGGTGGGCGCCTGATGGTTCTGCGATGCCCATCTGTGGATGGATTTCATCACAGTTCCAAGGCCTGGTGCCCAGATGGAGGGTTGTTCCGCGGCCGGAAATAGATGATCTTGCCAGGCGCAGCCCGGTTTCGCGTTGGTGGTCCAGCACTGGTTGGGTGGAGCTCACAATTCCTTCAAGTACCGCTGTGTAATGCCGCTACGCCGATATGCCGGCGGCTGTTGAGGTAGCGTGTTTGAGCGAAAACCTGGGAGTCTAGCGTTACATGCGGCTTGTGTTCCCGATGAGTTGCCCCTTTTGGAGACGTTGGTTCGGACAGGGCGCGGGCGAGGAGACGAAACGCCTTGGCAACCGCCATGATGACAACGAATCAGCGTGGGCCGTCGGCAATTTCGTGTTGCAACTCCGGGTGCTCGCCAGTTGCACTCGGTACCAGCTCCTCCATGGTTCCAATTCCAGGTAATACCCCGTCGTCGATCTTCAAACCGCAAGGCCAAGGTGCGAGACCTCGTTTGATGGGGATTGGGGTGGGAGAGGCAGAACCGAATCCACGGCGAGTGGCACAACGCAGAAAATACCTTACTTTAAGGTTGCAAAATGAGATCAAGCATTACAGCGAGAGGCGTTGCAATCATGGTTGTTTGGGATGGTTCTGAGGCTGGTAGAAGAGCTGGCACCAGTGTACGGAGAGGGAGCATAAATACCTAAGGTAGGACACCTCTGAGAGTGGTTGAAAAAAGTTGTCCAGGGGCTGGCGGTCGCCCATTTATACGTATGCTTGAATAGAAGCGGCCCTCTTGTGTAAGATTTTATTGAGAGCCCGACCGAGCACCTATCCGGATCTCTAGGGTACTTAGGTACCATCCTATATATACCAGACTAGCTCCAGCCGTGCCTGGCCTCGATGGTTCAATGGTTAGCCTAGCAAGCCTTCCAACTGCATAAGGCTTCAAACTGCGAGGCTTACTGCAATTCTCCCGCCATTTCCTTCTTTCCTACTAGGAGCCGGCTCCCCGACCGACAGAGGGAGGCAGAGGCACTTGTGTTTGAGATGTCCGCATGTCGTCAGAGCTTCAGGTACGTCGCCTGATGCACGGGACCTTCGCGTCGCAGCGCACCTGACCCTGGCCCACGCATTCAAGCGAGATGGCAGGTACGAGGAGGCTGAGGAACTCATCGAAGAAATCCTGGCATAGGCGGGTCCATCGATTCCTGCTGCGAGAGCCACAGACAGATACCTGATATATGTCTGTCCACGACACCCTCGAATGGGTACCATAGCCATGCTTCGGGTTAAGTTCAACCAGTCGGCGACGTACTTGCAGAAGGCTGTCGATGCGCTCGAGCTGCCCAAGGCCTTTGGCTCGCACTCTCCATTCCCGTCGTTCTCCGCACCAAGATCACGCTGGCCGAGGCGGCAGGCAAGCGAGGCAAGCCGGGGCTATATGACGAACACCAGACGCTGTGCGCGCAGCTTGAGAAACAAATCCCCGCCGCGACAGGAGTGACGTTGATCTGCCGTTGAGGAGGGAAGGAACGGATGTCGGTCAGCATCCCCGAGAATGGAAAGCACGAAATCCTATTTACCCCCCCACCCCCACCTCGTTTTTCGTTTCCCGTCCTTTGCCAACCTTTTCCACCTTTCGAGAATTCCAGTTTTGTGCGTGGAAATCCATCGCAGCAACTGGGCATCATTGGCCAGGGACACCGTATCGCAGCTAGCTCGTTTCCTTATGCGCAGCGCGGCAAGTATCAGTAGGCGCGAGATCCGTACGCCCTGGCGGCAAAGATGCAGATTGGCGTGACAATAAGACTGCCGATGTAGACGAGGCTAAGCTACGAGGTTGTTGGTCAGGCTGTTGCCATGACAGAAGAAGGCAACCAGGCTGATTTGGATCCGACGTTAGGCTCGCCAGATGCATTTTGGCTTGACCAGCGCACAGGCCATCTTTACCTCGCAATTTCCTTAGCCATCTCTGCCCTCGTCGCCGGTACGGTACGGATACAGTTCAACCCTTGAATAACTGTTACAGTATCCGTACGGCCTGCCAATTTCCAGATCTTCCCCTTCAACAACTATCTACAGTACTTACTTTCAACCCAAAAAATTCGAGCATGGGCCAAGATTCTTAGAAAGTTTCCGATTGAATTACTTATTGTCGTATAAAGATCAATCCTTATAGCGTTGAGTTTGGAGTTCTGGAGGGACCCCGGTCGTCGGAGTCGAGGATTAACAATCATTCAAGGGGTGGAGTGTACATTCTGCTGGCCCTGGGTCGTGGGGACGCTCTGCCTGCATGCAACTTCTCCGTTCTCTCCACATCCACGGAAGTGACTTAAGACCAAGATTTCAGAATATGATTACCATATGGCGCCATGCACCTCTCGGAAACTGGGGTTGAGTCTCCTTTCGAGATTGTAAAATAACCTCTCCACGTAAATAACGAGTTGAGTATTTTAAATTTAGGAAATACCGGCCTCTAAGCTCTTCAACATCAATTCTACTTAACTACTCTTAAGGGATCCATTCACTCAAATAAGCAATTTCCTTCTTAACGATCATATTTAGTATAGAACTACTGCATATCGGAATATTATCAAGGAAGGAGCATCCGTTAAGTGTCTTTTCGAAGATCAAGTTTTTCTGTCTCTTAGGGGAGGGCATTCGTTGCAAAAATTTAAGGTTAACGTTAACTAGATGGTTAGTTAACTAACGTTAACTTAATTATTATTATTCCTACTCCGCTATGCCCTAGGGTGTGCCGGACCTTCAGCTATTACTATACAGCAAAACCGTACCCTCGTAGGTCGGATAAAAAACCCGTATCGAACTAACTTAATTAACGTTAACTAAATTATTGGTGAAAATAAATGCCTACATAACTTGAGCATTTTGACGTCAAATGTTTCAGTATGAGGGAATATCTTACAGCAATAGGATGGAACTCGCGTGTATTTTCATAGATGCCGGGTGACGCCCTATGGTATCCTTGGAAGCATCCGCAAGATAGCGATTCCCGTTCGGAAGTTGAGCTTTCTAATGGGAAATCCCCCAAAACGATAATTTTGTTGGCTCAAAGAGGTGGAGCAAACAAACACCCGCGTTACGGCTGGTTCGGTCAATACCTCCAAGGCCACAAGCGTTTTTTTTTTCCGATACCTGCCTCGACCGGTCCTGCTAGGACGAGCTCACTCCTCGTTTGCCAGGAGCGGGAACCTGGACGCCTTTCGAGACGCACTCACAAAACGAAAACCAACCACACAAGTTAGGCTCGTCTTCGTCACGAGCATCAGCGGTGTGGGTGAATGCAAGGAAAAGAGTACGCAGAGTCTTTGTTGCGATCGTGTTTCCTTTCACTCTGTGACAGTAAGTTCATCGACAGAAACTCTGGACACCCCTGAAAGAGACTTGTTGGCACTATCCGAGGGAGCAAATGCACCGCTCATCACACAAGGGCACTCACCGCCGGCGGACCCGATACCCATCCGATCCGTAACCATCAGTCCTTCCTTCCAGAACCCCAAGTGCTGAGCCACGTTTTGGAAGTCTTGGTCTGGTCCCATGTCTGATGTTGCGATATCTGGAACAGAATGAGCACTTAAACCGCCCTCCTCGAACGCTGAGACTGAATCAGCAGGACTTCTACCCAGGGGGGTGGACCTCGACAAACATAACAGAGCTCCGACCTGCGATAGACCAATCGAACCATGTCACCGCAATTGTCATGCCTGGGAAGAGATCAGGTCCCAATTCAACGCCTCGGAGGATTCAACGTGGACCGGTAAGAATCAATCGATCGAGTCTCTGTGACGAAAGAGCTTGTTAACTAACCTTTCCAACAGTTGCTATGCTTGCGACGGAGGATGACTGTCTTGGGATCGATTTCAATCCCCTCACCCCAGCAGTTTCCCAGGTTATGCGCTCATCCACGGAGGCCATAGCGGCAGCCATCGAGTCCACTGTCCGCGCTCTCATTGAGGAGCATCGCCAGGACATCTTTGCTAACCCTGAGCTTTTGGTGTGGCTGTACGTGGGACCGTTTCTTGGAGCCGCTGCATGCCACATCGAACTACTGTACTTCGCCGCGAATGGAGCGTCTTCTACGAGCCGCATGCCAACACGTCTGCGGCATACGGCGGTGCCGCACATCGCGACATGGTCAGGAGACGCGCCAGAGAATACGTCAAACCATATGCGCTATATCAACACGTCGCTGGAGAATGTGAGACGTCTCAACCAAACCAACCCCTGGCGGCGTGCAAACAACGCATCCACTTCGGAGCATCTCATCGCCGATCTGGAGCACTTCGCCGGCGATCTGGGAAAGTTGAAGAGCGCCAGTGGTCAGTGCTTCAGGCCGCAAGTGAGCAAGAAGTCGCTTCAAGAAGCGCGCGTGTCAATGCGAGAGGCCAGGGACTTGAAGTGGCTGTCCTATTCCTATTTGGGCTTCATTTTCGTGCCGCTCAGTCTCCCGAGCTCCTACTTCAGCATGCAAATCGAGCCTCTTGGCAACACAGCACCATTGTGGGTATTCATCGTCACGGCTCTGGCAATTCTGGCCTTCTCAATCAGCATTATGTTCCTGACGAGTTCAGCGAGGTTGAGAAGATGGTGGGAAGGTCTGAAAGACGATGTGTGGAATCTGGCACATGGCGGTGTTGGGAACAGCGTCCTGAGTATCCACCCGAGAGAATCTTGGGAGCTGGATGGGATAACGAAAGTCGCGAGACTGAGAAACCGCTCGTACCTCATGTCCTTGAGCAGACGCTCCTCCATAACAAAACTTAGTTGCCAGCAGCCACTATCGCGGAAGTCTCGCGGACCGGCTGCGCTCAAGCAGGCGGCGTACAACAGGATTCGGTGGAGTCACGACTGCAGCGCTTGAGCCTGAGCACCTGGCCACGCTCGGCGGGGAAGAGCGCTCGTGGAGAGATTCTGTAGGAAATACCAGGTATCGCGATACATTAGAAACACAGGGCAAATACCCTCTCCTTGAGAGGGACGTGCTAAAGTGGTGGTTCAGTTGGATGCTCTTATTCTTTTCTGAATAAGGGGGTGCGAATCTTGCAGCCGCAGTAGTGGTCCTCGAGGTCCTAGACCACGTGACTACTACCCCTGTAATAAACCTGCCCTCACCCGGGTCCTCCTGCGAGGACCTCACTCTGGCGTAGATATTCCAACAGATTCCCATGAATGACCACGCGCGCCGCAGGGCAGAGGAGGAGCTTGAGATTGTGTCAGTACAATCAAAACGCTTCTACAGGAGCGAATACAAAGACCCGCCTAGCGGTGTCTTTGGCACGCCTTCGAGCTCCACGAAGTCATCGACGTCGCCTCGAAGTGAACTTGTCGCAGTCTGCGAAGGTTTTTGGAGGCGGGGGCTGTGGACTTCAAACGGGCTGGGTGATTTGCTGGTTATCGCAGCAGAAAACAGTCAGACGGAGGCAGCGTTACTATTTCTGAAGTACGGCGCCGAGATACGGGGAGGGAAAAGCGGGAAAATCCCACTCCGTTCGGCAGCTGCAGACGGGCATCTCGAAGCGGACGAAGCTCTCCTGGACAATGGCGCCGACGTCAGGACTAAACTGCCAGGCAATGGAGAAACGGCTCTCCATACCGCGGCCCGTTGGGGACACCAGATGAGTATCATGTTAATGGATCCAGTAAGTCACGTCGACATATTAGCCGCGCGAGAAGGGTGACATGTCCCGAATTAGCTACTGTACTTAACCGTACTTGGAATCAAAAGTCATGTTGGATGGCCACTTTGAACCCATGTTACACAACCACAAAGCTCTCAATTATGTCCTGACCCTCATAAGCCCATATCCCCATGACACCAGCCCGGGTTCTTACGCATTTGACAATGTAACCATGCCCCATTACTCCCAGATAATCACACCCCTTGTTCTTTATCGCTCTAGCTTAAGGGAGGCAGAGAGTCTGGCCGGGAATATCCTTATTGCAACCTACCGCAGGTTTCGTGTTAGTATAACGATATAAAGCAGCCCTTACCGACGCAATTGGGCAGCTTAGTACGTACGGCCCTCGTACTTCCTCCCAGCGCCATCGATCCAAAAGGCGCAGAACTCGCCCGGCTGGAGGACATCCAGGGTGTTCATGTGAGTGCAAGATTCATGAACCCACGCTGATTGATAGTACATAAAGTTAGTTCAGAAGTTGGTCGGCTTTATTTTGCATTGGTAGCATGGCTGCATCAACGGGCCACTCACCGCCCCTGATATCGTAGAACTGGTTATTCGCAATCCAGACGCCTCTATCATCCTGCGCCCAGGCATGAGAGCCGGCCGCCAGGGACAGGAACGCGGCAACAATCGTGGAAACGAAACGCATGTTGGAGAGACGCTGGAGTGTTGTGGAATAAGGGCGGACAGTAGTAGCTAATTCGAATGGACTCTGAAAAGAAGTCGTCGGCTGATTGACTCTGGGGAGAGGAATGTTTCTTTCGAAGGGCGTTGAGGAAGACTCCTTATATAGGTAGTTAACTCCCCCGTTGAGACTGAGAACGACAGTTGGGCCATTCGGAATTTGCCATCAGAGAGCTGGCCGCCTTTACAAAGTCTCCGTGAAATGGCCCCCAAATGCGCCGCCGCTTTGTTAAGGTGCTTGAAACTTAACGATGCCACTTCCTTCTAAGTCAAAAGGTACTCTGTAATCGTCAGATATGTCGCACCATTCCTGTTGCTTCAACGGTCCACCTGGACTTAGCCCCCACCAGAAGGTGGCCCCCAATCTCTGGAAGGGAGACGGGTGCTAAGTTGACCCTGGGTTTTCTCTATTTGCCGACCCCGGGCTGTGCAACGGAAAGATGGACATATCGCTCCAACAGGGAGGCGTTGTAGATCAAGAGGTTCTGATTATGGAACTTGCAACCAACAGAGCAACAGTGTGCCATGTTGATCGGAGACACCCATGATATCTGCAGCCACCGGAGCGAAGTTGTAGACCAGAACACAAATACGTTTGTATTTTTTTTTAACTAGAAAAGCACGCTATGCAAATCAGATACGCCGTACGCCATGCTTATCATGAAACGAAACCCTCGCAATATGTATACCAAAATAGTCTTCGCCGATTCAGTCCCTCGGTGGCGTTTTGGTCGGGGGAGGCTCGGTTGGTTTCCCGCGCGCCTGATTCCGGAGTTCTTCGATGAAGTACTTCAGAAAACCCTGTCCTTTATTAGGCTCGGCTAGGGACACGTCAGTGTCAATCGGGCAGCGTCGGCGGCTGGGTGGCTCGTACCTGTTGCCTCGCCCTGTCGCAGCGGCTCGTGCGGGTTCCGCCCATATCGAATATCTTGAACGGTGCGGTGGACTCGGCGGACTCCTTGATGGAAAGTGGGACTTCGGAGAAGCTGTCGATGCGCACCGGTTAGGCCAGCGCTAGGTGGCGACGACAGTATCTGGGGAAGCTTACTTGGTCGACGAGTTTATCCTGGAAACAGATCAAGAGTCAGCGTCTGGCATTTGGATGGCGGGGTCACTTGAACAAGTGTTTTTACTTCAATCATCAGCCAGTATGCCCAGAGGATACGCGCCCATGGCGCCATCTTGAATACCCTGAGGTCTGTGGTGTTTGGGTGTTTAGGACCAGCCGGGTGTCTCGGAGCGGTGGCACAGAGTTGAATTGTGCCCCACATTTGTGTCGGCAGCGGGTGGGGCTCTTGAAAGTGAGGAGACCTGGGCACCGTACCCTCTCCACGAGTTTCCTACTATCGACTACTTCTTCAACCTCGGACCAGACATCGAGATGAGCAGGCCCTTCACGTCTCCACGCCTCAGCCGCTATGCGAGCTGCGGCAGTGGCACTAACCCGATTGGCATCATGTGCCCGCGGGAAATGCCCGGGCCACTGGAGATGAGGTCTTCCACCGCTCTCTTCTTACCCGTTTCGTCCTTGTCCTCTGTTTTGGTTGGCCAGCGGAGAATGTCGCCCTCATCTCACAGCCCGTGGACAAACGACGCAACAGTGAATGGACAGAGCTTTCGCGCACGGCAGATGACTGTGCAGGCTCCTGAACTGGTTTGTTTGAGACTTGCCAGAAGATGCCTTGGAGCCTCTGAGCTTTGGAAGAAGCAGGCCCCAAAACCCTAGGATTTCCGCTGTCCGGGCGCGAAGTATGAACGGCCGGGGCACCAAATCCGGGATTTCGTTGCCAATCCACATTTTGGGAACTCCATCCCTATGGCAGTTGAATACCAATTGCCCATTTACTCATCCGGGCCTTCACATCGCCCCAAGATATCATCCTGAGATGTCTTTCCTTTCTGCCGGGCGAAAGCCCAGAGTTTCACGCCGCATCAGCGCATTCAGTAGCGGCCAGCACCTCGAGCTCGCAAGCTACATTGACAGTTTAGAGGGCATTACCAGAGCTCAAGGATCGTCAGGGGCATCGGATCGCCATAAGATCGGGTTTCCCTTTGAAGTAAGTCTCATGCTCATGGCATCAGACCCATGACTCTCAAATCGAACCGCAGCAATCCTCCCTATCCTCGGAATCTCAGTGCCATCCAACATTCGGTTTTTTTTTTCACTATTCTCTTTTCTAAAATTTCGAAACATGCATTGGTGTTGTGCCGTGTTTCTCGGTTCAGAGCTTTCTGTACTCTGCAACCATGCTTTGATGTGATGTCAAGCATCCCGGCTGCATTGTCTCGTCAGACGTCAAGATCAATGCAATATTCTGAGAACTCTCGGGCCTTCAAATCGACGGCGCAAAGCTACTGGAGCGCCTCCCCCCGACGCAGCGAAACAGCCGATTCGGTTATTGCGGCCGGATTTGCTGGTCTGAAAGAGGCAATGCACGGCACAGCTCAGGTTGGCCTCCGTCGGCCCGTGTCCAGGACTACAGGCAAAACAACGTGGAGCAAACATTGGCGAAGGCCAACGGCCTTCCACAAAGTACTTAGTACAGTGAAGTCTCCCGTAACGGATCGCGGCACGGCAGCCTTTTCCTAATAATATTACCAGCGATAAGTGGCCACGAAGCTAGGCCGGCCTGGTCGAGGGGGTCATGAATCCGCCTCTGACGCTTCCCAGCTGCGCCGCATTTTCCCATGTCATACCTTGCCAACATGAAACCAGTCGTAGCTCAAAACTGGTGCTTGTGCCATGTCCATGGTCCTTTGACGCTACCCTGCAATATCACGGCGTCTGCATGGATGCAGAGTGATGCTACTACTTGGACAGCAGTACAATGAAGGTGCGCGAGGAAGACATCAAGTCGGCGGGTCTGACGCTCTTGTACGAGCCCGACTGGCCGTCTGACCCAATTGTTGAGTGAGTACGATGATCCTTGTGTTCGCCGATGTCTGCGCTGACCATGGGGTTGACAGTATCCTGCTTGTGCATGGAGTTGGCGGGCATCCAGTGCGATCATGGAAGTGCGACGGCGTAGGCCGAACTCCAACGTCGCTCAAGCCTACCATACGAACCCCCGGGATCAAGAGAAGGTTGACGAAGATTTGGCCGTCACAACCGCTGCGACGATCAAACTCGGAACCCCTGCTCGCTAAAGAGCAGCACCCCTTGAACAGGTCCCGGACACTGCTATGGAAAAACGCGGCCAGGTCCTCATCGCGAGTCAACCTTGGCCCCTATGTTGAACCCGCCAAACCAGGTTCGTCGGGCGGAGCGAAGAGTTTCGTGAGGAAGGCTTCAGTCAAGTCGCCATCCAGGTCAAACCTCGCCGGTGTGGCTGAGCCGATCCGCCAGGGTGCCAGATTCCGGGAAGTTGACTGGTACTGGCCGCTCGACTTCCTCCCGGCATCATGTCCCAACGCAAGAATCTTCACCTGGGGCTATCAGACTCTCGTGGCGGATAAGAAGCCAATCCCTCTCCAGGGCGACATCTTCGCTCATGCCGGGGAACTGCTCGTTGAACTCGCCAGCACCCGCGCCGTGTTGGGTGCAAGAGCCCGGCCGATTGTCTTCGTCGCCCACTCCACCGGAGGTGTGCTGGTCAAGGAGGTAACTGACACACCCAAAGTACGATGTCTCTCTTTCTCTTACATTGGCAGGTCCTCCGCCTATCCGAAGCCGAACGCGACGGCCCCCTGAAGGAGATCTTGCTCTCGACGGCCGCCGTCGTCTTCCTCGGCAGCCCCCACCGGGGCACCGAACAGTGCAATCTGGGGGACGCTATCCGTATCATGGCGAGTGTCACTATGCTGGTCGACCCAGACGATCCCGCGCTACAGGAACTGTGCGGCGCGAACAGCGTCGAGGCGGAGCTGGCGAGACAGACGTTTGTGCGTTTGTGGAACAGCTACAACTTCAGGGTTAAGACGTTCCAGGAGTCGGTCATTCCGAATCACCGGTATCCGGAGCTCAGGGCGGAAACGGTGAGTCGTCCTAGCTACGAGTAGGGCGGTTGGCAGTTGCTGATGGGGACAGACAATACGGCGTCTTGCGAGCTTCATTGGAGACCCGAGGGAGGGTGCTGAGACCATATGTGCGCTGCATGACAGCATTTGCAAGTTCGTCTCCGCGGAAAACCCAGGGTACCGCGCCTTGGCTAGGACTTTGGCCGCATTTATCACGGTGGAAGAACATAGAGTATGCTCCCTGTATGCTCCCTGACTGCGGGGACCGGCCATAGCTGATATCTGGCAGCGCCATGTGTTGAACGTGAAGGAGAAAGGTGAGCTTTTAGGTCGTTCCCGGGGTGGCCAAGCTGACAGATCATAGAGTGTCTTGCCGCTCTCGTCTCACCAAATCCTGCCTCTCCCGAGACACACCCGCCTTCGATATATCCAGGGACTTGCCTTTGGCTATACGATATGCCCGACTTTCAGGCATGGCACAGCCGCAGCGGTTCGAACAAGCGCAAGATATTGTGGATCAGGGGAGGACCTGGATGCGGTAAGACCGTCCTCCTCCGGTCACTCCGGAGACGACTCGAGAAGCAGTGGGGCCCAGCCGGCGCGTCATTCATCTGGAGCAGCGACGAGGCCGATGATGTGACCCCTGGGACCTTTCCGGCAAGCAGAGAAGGGAGCCCGGTCGCGATCTACCGCAGCCTTCTCGCCCAGCTGTTCCCCCAAGATGCTCACCTCCGCAAAGCACTCCTAGCGTTGTACAACAAGCTGCCGAGCGTCCCGCGGACATTTGATGATACCCAGATCGTGTCTTTCTTTGCCGATTATTACATCAACCAGAGGATCGAAACGCCCGCGAGAAGGACCTTCATCTTTCTTGAAGTTGGCGACGATGCCTGCACTGGGTACGTGCATGAGCTGCTCAGCCGACTGGGGCAACTGGCGCACAACTCGGACTTTAGCATATGCCTTGCGAGCAGTCACCATCCCGAGATTCTCGAAGAAGAGAACGTGATAAGCAAGCCCATGCACCTGCGCAACGCCGGTGATATCCTGCGCTATGTCAACCTGAACTTGGTGGCTGAGTGGGAGGAGCGGGACCGGACCGCGATGCACATTGCGCAGAAGTCGGCGGGCGTCTTTTTGTGGGCTGAGATAGTCGTCAATGTCTTGAACGCCGCCATCATTGAAGGGGCTACCCAAGAGATGATCGAATATACCTTAGATGAGGTCCCCGGCGATCTCCACGGCCTGTACGAGTGGATGCTCTCCACCTTCAACAACCGAGAGAGAGCCGAATCACTGATCCTCTTCCAATGGGTGATGCTCGCAGCCGAACCGATGCGTCTCAACGACCTATTCCTCGCCGTCCGGCTCACCGAGCCTAACCCGTTCGCCGTCTACCAAGACCTCGGCCCACTCATGGCGTTCGACATCGGAGCGCCCTTCTCCATGCGAGAGCTCCGCCAGCTGCGCAACTCAGAGATCACTTCCGACACGCCCTACCAGTTCCATCGCTGGCTCCGGGCCCGGTCCATCGGCCTCCTCGAGCTCAGAGCCGACAATTGTCACCAACCTACCGCCAACGAGCCCCTCGGCCTCCAACGCGTCCACCCCATTCACTCCTCCGTCCGCACCTTCTTCCTCTCCGGCCGGGGCTTCGCCTGCCTGGCCGTAGGCAACCCGTCCATCCCCGCCTCTCTCCCCACCGCCGACTTCCTCGACATCACCCACTACGCCCTCCTCCGCGCCTGTCTAACCTACCTCAACATGCGCGACTTCGAATCCCTTTGTCACGGCGCCGCCCACCGCCGCAAGCCCACCGCCAACCTGAACTTCGACCTAACAACAACAACAGTGCCAGTGACAACCGAATGGTATCACCCACCAACAATAACAGCCCCGTCCCAGCGCCACCTAATCATGTCCTCGTACCCCTTCCTGTACTACGCCGTCTCCCACCTCCTCTTCCACCTCCTCTCGCCCCGCCGTTTCCGGTACTTCCTCCCGCAGCGCGAGCTGCTCGCCGTGATGAAGGCGAATAATTTTCGGCTGTGGAAGAGGTGGACCTCGTTGTTGGGGACGCATGATCCGGCTGTCATCATCGCGAGGCATGCTTTGCCCACATCATCGGATGCAGGGGTGATAAGGATTGGGGTTGCGCGGTTGTTAAGTCCCGTGTATGGGGCGCGTTTCAGGTTGGAGAGGGTGCTAAGGAAGGTGGCGCGGTTGGCTGTGGGGGAGCGGGACTGGAGGCGGTAGGGTGTGAACGTGGAGTGAGGTGGGGGGAGCCGGTTACGCCTGTTGGGGTGGCCGCGGTCGTGGGGAGTTCCAGCGGAGATGATAGTGCGGAGGGAAAGTGGCCAGGGGAGGGGGCCAGTGCCCCGGACGCCCAGATGTAGGTTACCTGAATGGTTGACGCCGCCGCTGGTTGATGTTGATGGGCGGCTGCTGAGTCCGTTGATGAGGGGGGGATGATGGCGGACCGGGAAGTCGGAAGTGGAGGGATTGTTGGTAGTATCAGTTTGGCTGTGTAGAGGGTTGACTGAAAGGTAAAGGGGCTGGTAAAATACAAAATTGGTGATGTCTAAGGTGCCGTTGCAGAACTCTTGTGCACTCCGTTTAACGTTATGTGTAAAAACGTATGGAGATACGGTTTCCCCGAGTTGCACCCTCTAACAACGGACGCACAACCAAAGAAAGAATGTATACAATATAGAAACTAAGTCCATAGTTTAAGATAATTACATGGATATGTTGCACATATCTTTTAGCATTAATTCCATGTGGTGCTGTTCGGTTTTGCGGGGGTTGGAAGTGGTTACATATTTATTGGCGATTCTGGCTGCATGTGTGATTTTGTGAAACTGACAACCGGGCACTTTGTCGAAACCAAACCCTATAACTAAAAATAAGCTCACCGACCAACCGCCCTCGCCGGTCGTCACCGGCAAGGAGATGGTCGGGTACAAAATCACCGGAGCGTCGCCCGGGGGGTTTTACTCCGGAGTCGAACAGTGTGCCTCACCGAAGGTAAGGCACCTGGCGACCTGCCAGCCCACCACTAAGCTCGAATGGTGGGCTTTGAAAATGGTGGATGGGAAGTTGATTATAGAGTGGTCAGAGGTGTTGCAAGGTGCTCACTAACGTGGCGAGAGGCGCGCGTTCAGACGAAAAAGCTGATGCAAGTTGACGTTCTGTTGACATTTCAGGTTCATCAACCAACCCTAACCCGCGCCGATAATCTAAGGCAATACGGATGATTAACAGAGCCAAGCGGTCACGGCTGGCAAAAAAGGACTTGGAACTTTTGCCGAATGACCAAAACACTTAAAAGCAAACTTGCATGCTGGGTTGCGCCTTCGGTCCTTTGCGCCCCTTCCTCATGTACGCGATCCGCAGTCATGTGCGCGCCACGGTTCTCTCGCGCGCCACGCGCTGCGTCTTTGCACAGCAGGCCACGCTCCGCACCTCGACCCGACAGACGAAACGGGTGACGACCAACCCCGAAACGACCAAGGAAGAGGAAACGATAGCCAAAATCGATGCTCTGGGCGGCGCCTTTTTTGGTTTGCGCAATCGGAAAAAGGGGAAGAACAACGACAAATATCGCGTCAACATCGTCAGCGAAAAGCTGTGTGACGATGTCATCAACTACATCAAACCGACCCTGGCCCGGCACAAAGGCTGCGACCTGGTTGACATCTTCCCCGGCACAGGCATTTGGAGCCAGAAGCTCCACAATGCCGTCCAGCCGCGCACCCACATGTTGATGGAACCCGACGCCGACTTCTACAAGCCCTTCCTCGAACCACTTCTCGAGCGGCCCGGCACCAAGTTGGTCCCGGAGTCGGGTATAGTCTGGGAGGAGCTCAACAAGGTATTGAACCCGACGGTGCTTCCTCTCCAAGTCGAGCGCAAGTTCAAGCCCGAAGAGACACCGCCGCGAAACGACACGCTTCTTGTCTCCATGAACCTGGCCATGTCCCCGAGGCGCAGGTTTCGAAGCTTTGACAGCGTCGTCGCGCTGGTCATATTTCAACTCATTTCGTCGATCCGCCCTGGGGCGCTATTCCAGAAATACGGCCTGGTGCGCATGCTCATATGGATGGAGGACGGCGAGAAGGTCTCGATACTGCCGCGCAGCGCACAGCGGAGAAAGAGACTGGCGATCGAGGCAGAACTGTCGACCGATTACGTCTGCGAAATCGCTGGCGCCGGCCTTGAAAACGCGAAGCAGATTTTTATAGCGGCCCGCGACGACAGACTCGAGACAGAGAGCATAAGAAAAGCTCTCCAGCGTATGCGCGAGCACGGATTTGTCCTGCCACCCGGACGAGAACCGGAGCATTTGCTGGACTATCAGGAATCCCTTAACGCTGACGGCGAAGTGGCGTCTGGCGCCAAGCACAGGGTCCACCGAGCTTCACAGGCAGCATTGGAGAAGATGGAGGCCGCCTACGCCAGGGGGGAGTTTGAAGAAGGATCGAAAGAATACGTACAACTCCGGAACCTACGGTATAAGAAAACTTACACGGAAAAGCGCGACGTCTTCATCGGCGACCTGCTCCGTGAGCGCGAAGCCATCCACCATGCCTACGTGGACGCCGGCGACGACAAGGGAAAGCTAGAAGAAGTCTTCAAGCGCGGCCAAGCGTGGAGCGACAAGGTCAGCGCCACGGAGCGGGGCATGCGTGGCGAGGTCAACCTGCACCGCGACAACTGGCACCTGCTGCACCAGGACCCGCCCGTGCTTAACTGGGACCGGCGCTACGTCGAGCCCCTGCGGGTGCGCCCCGACGAGTTCTACCCGCCCGTCCCCTGCGCGCTGCTCGACATCCAGCCCAAGGCCGCCGCGCCCGTGCTGCGCGACATCGGCCCCAACTCGACCCGCGGCGGCGACACGTTTGACCTGATGCTGCGCGGCCTCGTCCAGCGCGGCGTCGATCCGCTTTCCCACTCTCTCGACACCGTCGCCGCGGGCGCCAGCGACGGCATCATCCCCCACTGTCCGAGTCTAACGGACCCCCGACTGGGCGGGTCGCCGCTGCCCGGCCATGGTGAGCTCACGGCGCGGGCGTTGAATCAGAGGCAGTTGATCGATATCATTGAGCAGTGGATGAAATGGCCTTTCCGGCCCCACTACTCGGAGCTGGTGTGCCGGACCGTGGAGGAGCCTCATGAGGACGTTGGCGAGTCTGGTATGCTGGGGAATAAGTCGGCGGCTGCGTTTGAGTGAGTGTACGGATATTAACGAGTGTGGACGACAATGTTGCATGACTGGTTGCATCGTATTTGGCGTTTATGTACTGTATTATACGTAAGATAGCGGTGTACATCGACGCCGGGGTATAGATCGGTTCAACAGCGCGAGCGTGTTCATGGTTGTTCGAAGGAATTCAAAGGGTAACTGATCTGCGTGTCGCCGGGCCATTGGCTGAATCATTGCGGCTCGCCTTCATCTCACCGGCGTCCCTGCAGCAGCCATTTTTGCCTATGTAACAAGCCGGGTCGCGATGTCCCTGAATGCGCCCCCTGGATCCCCAGGCACCAGCCACCCATCCTTCACAGGCACACTCTGGCCACACCATCCAACTCAGTGGCGGAACATCACGGCCGGCTCAAAGCGCGGCATCAGCGTCAACTGCGTCTGGACCCACGGATGCTGCCTGTTGAGCTCTCGGCAATTCCAGTCGACCCACCAACCCTCGGGAATCAAAATGTGATTCCCATCCGGATCCCTATCCTCGGCCAGATTGACAGTTCCCCAGTTTGGCCAGAATTCCTGGCGAGTCGCCCATGGGACGTTCAGGTCCTCGCCCTTTAGCCACAACCAAACTTTGTCCAGGTTTTGGCGCCACCGCTCGACGCGTGCGCAGTATTGCGTCGGCGTCGTCGATCGCGGTGAAGAACTCGGACACGTCTCGCTCCTGGTCCGAAGGTGACCCGGATTGGTGGCGTGTCCAGACGTCCCGAAACTTGGCAATCATTGCCGTGTCCCTCGGATTACCAAGCCGGATAGGCTCCTCGCCCAGGACGCCAAACACCCCGGCCTGCGCGGCCTCCTCGGCCGAGCTGTGGATCTCGACCATGACCGACTACGTAGTAGAGACGGTGCGGGCTGAAGTACCTTAAGACTTCATGGTCGATACCCGTAGAGATGCTCGGCCAGGAGGGTTTTGACCTCTTGGGCTCGAATGGAAGCAAAAAGCCGGCACTGACGGACGTGAGATACCAGTGGGGCCCGACCAGCCGGCGACGACCACAGCTCTCGGGGAGGGTCGGCCGGAATAATGTTATGAAAGCTCGATACTGGAAAGTCCATCTCGACGACTCGCGGGTCAGGTATGCAGGACGACCAGATCTGCAATCGTAGCTCCGTAGGCAAATTCCGGAACCTCGGGAAGTTGCGTGCAGCCATGGCGCTTGGTGGTGGCGGCGATACTTGTGTGTTACAGGAGTAACTACTTGTAAAGTAACAATGGTCGCTGGAATTGTTGCGCAAGCGGCAAACTTGAGGCTCAACAACGGAGACAGTGATATAGTGATGTTTTGGAGGTCGGTGACTCACGCCGAACCACTCACAGTGGTAGCCGAAAAGCCCTGCAAATACAAGTCGAAATTAGCGAGTGCAACTTCATGCAACCGCCATGCGTGGAACCTGAGCTTCAGGTACGCCTTCCGTTTCTGTACAACGGCACAAACTGGGAGACTGCAGCTTTAACGCTGCGGTTAAGACGATCAGCGAACCTCACTTGTTGTTTTCTTGTTTCACTGTACAACTTGGTCATTCTCGCCGTCCTCCCACGCTCTCCTCTCTCTCTCTCGATTCCCACCGTCTACTCTCCTTCCTCGACATGATGAGACTGTAACTGGGGCAACCTGTGTGGGTTTCAGCTTCGATCCGCTCTTTGACCGACTTACCGCTCTCACCGCAACCATCCAGGCAACAAAGCAACATAACGGAATGGTTATTGACATCCGCTGCAGCCTCTGTGCAACGACTGGCCTACTTCATGCCTTATCTTAATGCTGGGACATTGACCTGCAACTCAAACAGAGTCATCAACCGCCAACCACTTTCAGTTCGGCAATGAACTTTTGACAACAATGGTGTTCCCTCGTCGACCGTCGTCTGTCCTTCGCTACCTCATTCCGGCGCTCCTCCTGACCGTGACCTTCTACATCCTGGACGAACCGACCTACCTGTCGCAATTGGGACCGCTACTCTTCTCAGCAGCGTGGAGCCGCAGATATGGAACGCACGAACACCCCATTGACAGGCTGATCAAGGCGGCCGAGATCGACTTCGCAAACAAAATCGCAAAGGCAACCCACACCCTCCCGGACACAGCCGCCGCCTACCGCAAGCGCAGAGGCAGACACCCGCCGCCAGGCTTCGACAAATGGTACGAGTTTGCGGCTCAAGAAAATAATGCGATCATCGTCGAAGAGTTCTGGGACCAGATCTATCACGATCTGGAGCCTTTCTGGGCCGTCGACCCTGCCAAGATTCGCAGGGACGCCCGTCAGTTTGAGATGCGCATCGAGATCCGCGACCACAAGGCGTCAACGGGAAGTGACTGGTTCTGGACGCAGATCTGGCTCGAAATGATTCGAAGTATAGAGCACTTTCTCCCAGATATGGAGCTTGCGCTGAACGCCATGGACGAGCCGAGGATGGTAGTACCGTGGGAGGATATCGGCAAGAAGATGAAGAAAGCCGCAAAGACGAGGGGGATGGTGGACCCGAAAAGGGCACTGTCTGAGTTCGGCAAGCTGTCGCCCCGTAAGAACGACTTGCTGGATGAAGGGAACTCGCCGGAATGGGAGCATGAGAGTATAGGCTCACCTTGCATCTCAACAGGAGAGCATTCGCTGACCATCTTTGCAGAGCACTACTGGCTCATCGCCCGCCGCGGTTGCGCGCCCGACAGCCCAGCCCGCCAAGCTCCCGTCATCACCGGCTTTGACCGGACACCCTCTATGGCGAGTAGCTTCGACCTGGCGCACATGGACGATGGGTACGTGGTCAACTACACGCTCGGCACCGACTTCTGCCACCAAGCCGACTTACAGGCTCTCGAAGGCATCTTCGTAGAGCCTCTCAGCGTCTCAGCCACCAAGTCTCTCCTCCCACTCTTCGGGGGCTCCAAGCTGGCCGTCAACAACGACATCCTGCTGCCCGCACCAATGTACTGGAACGAGGAAGATCGTTTCACGGGCGCCGAGGGTGCCTCCATCTCCTGGTCCTCTAAATCTCCAACTGCTATCTGGCGCGGCGTCGCAACAGGCGGCCTCAATCGCCTAACTAACTGGCGCTCCTTCCAGCGCCACCGCTTTGTCGCCATGAACAACGCCAGCCAGCTGCAACTGGCCTCTTCTTCTTCACCACCACTGAACTTTGCCCTCCCTGACAAGCGATACGCCCTCTCCGCCCAGAGCGACGGCTCCAACGACTACGACCTCGCCGCCTGGATCGCCTCCACAACAAACATATCCTTCACCGACCTCTTCTGTTCTCGACCCGACTCCGACTCCTCCAACCCAGCATCAGAAGAACAAGAGGACGAATGCCACTACGTCACCCCATACTTCTCCACCACCCCACCCCTCCCCATGTCCTCCCAGTTCACGCATAAATACCTCCCAGATATCGACGGCAACTCCTTCAGCGGCCGCTACCTCGGCTTCCTCCGGTCCACCTCGCTGCCGATCAAAGCGACGCTCTGGCGCGAGTGGCACGACGCAAGGCTCGTGGCATGGAAGCACTTTGTGCCGATGGACAGCCGGTTCGGCGACTGGTGGGCGATCCTCGAGTATTTTGTCGGCAACGAGAAGACTGGGGTGCGGGGAAGGGACGAGGTTGCGGAGAAAATCGCCATGGACGGGAGGGAGTGGGCTGGGAGGGTGTTGAGGAGGGAGGATATGCTTGTTTATCTGCTCAGGCTGTTGCTTGAGTATGCGAGGGTGGCGGATGATGGGAGGGCGGTGATGGGATGGGTTGGGGATTTGATGTGATAGTCATCTTAGTGTCGAGGCGTGGCTGTCCTGAGAGGACGTGATGCGAGTCCTGAGATGAGTGCTTGCGATGGATCATGTCGTTCGTCGGCGCGGAATGGCATAACTCCGTCGGCTGAGTTGCGATAAGGGTCGTCTCGGTCCGAAATGGTGGGGCAGCCGATAAGGGCGGCAGGACGGCACGGGCATAATGTTCGGAGGGTTCAACCGTTCCTGCATAAGTGGCTTAGGTTAGTTGATGGAAGATGTAGTCCGCTTCCGGCGTCGCAAAACCGTTGTGCCGTGGTGCATAAGCAACTTGAAACTGGAAGTCTCTTCGACGGCTTGATTGTGGTCGTTTCCAAGCTTGGCACTGAGGGATTTCTCGGAATCCGTCCGTCACAAGCACAGCCCGTGACACCGCCCGGCCACCGAAATCCTCGCCGCGTCTCTCTGCTGGATTCGACACAAAGCTCTTACCTGAAAACGGATCCCGTGGCCATGGTCCAGCGGCCAGCCAGAGCAGTCTGGGGCGGTAAAGAAGGATGGCGGAAGAAAGCGGACGACACTGACTGGCTGCTGCGAATACGGTGGGCCGGGGCTTACCGTCAATACCCGCTCTACCGAAACGCCTGCCGTTAACTGCAATCGCACTTATAACTTAACGGCAGTCGCTCCGAGGCTGTGACCACTGAACCAAAATCTCCACGTGAGCCATTTGTCGGCGTCAAGCACAATCAGGGATGTGAAAGGGAGAAAAGGACCGGTACCGGGTGAGGTCCTTGGCGGCGTCGAACCGATTACGTTTCGCCGTTGTTGGGAGATATAATAATGGTGAGACCCGGAGCTTATCTTCGATTTCGGGTTTTGTCTTGCCGTTGATATCGATCTACCTTTAAATCCCGTATTTCGCGAAGGCAACAGAACCTCGTTGTCCTCCTTACTCTTTTAAACACACCGTGACGACCTTTGTTCGCCGATTAATCTCATCGCCTTACCTCGGCCACTCGAGTTGGTTGACGCGCTTCTCCCGCCCTATATCGCGCGTCTCAAAGTCAGCGGCCCCGCCAACAAAGGTGTGTGTTTCTGACTTCTGTTTCGACCCAGGGAGGCGGCAGCCCCACCACCAGTTTGGGCTCTTGTCTCCATCGAATCTTGACGCTATCGAAGATCTCCCAGGCTCCACTGTTTGGCTTGTGCCCTGCGAGCTGGAATCCCAGCTCAGCGACGAGATAAGATCATGGATGGGGCCTCCGCAGTCACTTTTTTGCTTGATGTTTTCTTTTTTTTGTTGCTTTCCCGGAGTTGTGGTTCTGACAGTCCTTTGATCTCGGCAGCAAGATCCCGCCCGCGCATCCCTTAGACGACGAACGACCCCTTGCATACCCTTCCTGACATCATACGCTGCGATCCCTATGTCCCCCTCCCGCCTCGACGACTACATCGGCGATAACAGCGCGCCAGGTTCCGCCTCGGGCACCTCCACTTCGCGATTCTTCGGCAAGCTCAACACGTCCATGATCCAGTCCAAGTTCCTGGCCCACCCGGAAGACCTCGGTATCGTCGCCGTCGGCTTCTCGGGCGGGCAAGGCAAACCCGGCGTCGACGCCGCCCCCACCGCCCTCATCGAGTCGGGTCTGCTGGACCAGCTGCGCGATGAGCTCGGGTACAACCTGCACGGTCACGACGCCGTGCACAACTACACCGACCTCGTCCCCGCGCAGGATCCGCCTCACCGCGGAATGAAGAATCCCCGCGCGGTGTCGGCTGTGACGAGGAAGATCGCCGACCAGGTGTATGCGCAGGCGCGCGAGGGACGGTTGGTGCTGACCCTGGGCGGGGATCATAGCGTCGCGATCGGTACCATCGCGGGCAGCGCCAAGGCGATCAGGGAACGGCTGGGCAGGGAGATCGCGGTCATTTGGGTCGATGCGCACGCCGATATCAACACCCCCGAGACGAGCGGCAGCGGGAATATTCATGGCATGCCGGTCAGCTTCTTGACAGGGCTCGCGCGGGAGGAGAAGGAGGAGTTTTTTGGGTGGTTGAAGGACGAGCACCGGATTAGCGTCAAGAAGTTGGTGTATATCGGGCTGCGGGATGTGGACGCCGGGGAGAAGCGGATCCTGAGGGAGAATGGGATCAAGGCGTTTAGCATGTTTGACATTGACAAGTAGGGCTCTCCCCGCCCTCGACGAGTGGGAAGGAATTAGGACTGCCGCTGACGATTCTGAACAGGCATGGCATCGGTCGCGTCATGGAGATGGCGCTTGCCCACATCGGCAGTGACACGCCCATTCACCTGTCATTCGACGTCGACGCCCTCGACCCCATGTGGGCTCCTTCGACCGGCACCCCAGTGCGCGGCGGTCTGACGCTGCGAGAGGGCGACTACATCTGCGAGGTCGTGCACCAGACTGGCAGCTTGATCGCCGTCGACCTCGTCGAGGTTAACCCGCGGCTGGCGCCTGAGAACGATATTGGCGCGCACGAGACTGTGCGGGCTGGATGCTCCCTCGTGCGATGCGCACTAGGCGAGAGCCTACTGTGAATAAATGAAAGTCGGGCAGCGGATTCTGGCATGGTTTTGTTCATATTAGGTAGATCTGTCGGCGGGCATACATTCCATGGCGCCATTGGTGGATTGGACGGTTTCGGATATGTGCGGCAATGTTTCTCATGCTGATTCACGGTTCACTTAGTGCTTGATAGAAGGGCCGTTTTGTTTGGAAAATGTGGAGCCGTTCCATTTCATACTTTCTGTCATTATGCCATGACCTGAGTGTTGAAATGCAGGTGGCGGGTGTCAACCAGCGACCCAAGATGGCAAGCCCCACACCCTACCTGCCTGACAGATGCAGGAACGACGAACAGGGCCTTGGATGAGAGGCCGAAATTGTAGGGGTGCTTGAGGATGAACCACCTGTTGTTCGTTCGCTTTTGCATTGTGTCTGCGCATCTTGGGTTCCTAGCCTCAGCACTGACCGAACCCAACCACCGACCCCTGTCTCGCCAAGCCTCTTTTAGCTCCCGCTGCGCAGCTTTTGGTGTCGGCGGCGGGTACGGCACGGAGATCTTCGAGGAACCAACGCTTCCGCGTGTGTCGCATCCCATCGCATCTGCTCGCTTTCTTTCGCGCCGTAACTGACTTCCATTCTCTCGCTCAATGCCCTCTTTATCAGGTCGCCAGCATCCCGACCGGCCGGTTTTGTAGTCCAGACTCGACGACGACCCCAGGAACGAAATCCCAACATCGACTTGGCCTGACTCCACCAACTGTGGGGACGACAAAACAACCAAGCCGAACGCCCAACCTCCCGTCCGGCTCCCCACCGACATCGACGTGGCGCCCGCTCCGTGTGCGACCAGGCGAGGCTCTCGCCTCACCGCAAATGTTTGGTTGTCGGGGAGTTTGAGAATATTCAGAAAATATCTTGTCTTGACCTTGTCTTCGTGGTTGGGCTTGCGTTTCGCTCGCCCTTCGAGGATCTTGTGTCCTGCAGCAAAGACACAAAGGCATTGTGTCGCAGCCGGATCGGTGCAGCGGATCGGGACGGCCGTGAGGTACTTCAGACAAGTCCCCTTCGCTCTCAGCTCGACAACGCGGACGAGTCGCTGATAGTACGCGCCGGAGTCGATCTCGAACCCCGTCGGACCGCCGGACATCGAATTTCGTCGTCCTCGCCTCCCGACCGGCCGCATAGCGAATCCATACCAACACCGCCGCCATGGCGTCTACCGTGACTAGCGGCTCGCTCGTCTACGAGCGCCGCGTAGTCGAGCGCGTGCACAAATACCACTGGCCGGCCGTCCAGCTCAACGTCTGGATCCTCGTCATGCTTATCGCGTCGTGCCTCATCATCGGCGTGTTTTCCACCTTTATCCAGATCCAGCAGGTCCTCCTCCTGCCAATACCATGGTTCGTTTTCCACTTTCTTCTCACCTTCCTTGGCAGGCAGACGAGAGCTAAGCGACACCCGCCAGGTACTTCCCCTACTACATAACCGTCTCGGCCCTGACGGTGTCCTTCATCCTCCTGCTGCTATGGCTCATATTCCAACGCCGCCTGCTGCCGAGTATCGTCATGATTGGCGGGTTTATACTCTTTGTCCTGTGGCTCGTCGGCTTGATCGTCATATCCATCCAGCTGTGGGGGCCTGAGGGCTCGGTCAGCTCCAACTGCAACTTGTTTGTGTTTGGTGCCAACCCGCTGCCGAAGGGACAGAACCTGGAGACGCTGGCATGGCTGCAGCAGAGGGGCATCTGTCAGAGCTGGCAGGCTGTGTTTGCTTTTGGGCTGGTCGGGGCGATTTTCTTGTTGTGGATTATGGTTATGGCGTATCAGGTTTTTGCTGATGATGCGTAAATGGGGTTGGGGAGAGGTTTTGATGATTGTAGTGTTTTGGTCTGGATGGTATGGGCTAGCCCATGGACTGGCATGGGAGTGCTGTTTTGCCGCATGCTTGGACTCGGCTCCTTGTTGAATATTTCCGCTGACTTTTGTTACTGATCTGAACATTGCTCGCATATGCATAGATGGAGTTGGGACCATCTGAGTTGGATTTTCAGCGGGATATTGGGTGTTGGGAGTCGATGTTTGGCATGTAATGCGAGCATTCAAACGATGCGTGCAACGAGATAAACATATGATGGGAGGGGTATGGCATTGCCACATTTGGGCATTGGGTGCCAGAGGCTCCGTCGATGTATCACGGCCGATGTATTGAATTGATTGAATTGGCTTGTCATGATTTGGAGCAATCTCATCCATTGAAGGAGCAACACCCAGAACAGCCTTTTGAAAACTTGATCACAACAGAAAGCAATAGAGCTTAACAAACAACAACATACAGCCGCCCTGCCAGAAACACCTAATCTCTCTGCCCTCAGGCACCTCTTTAATACGCCCCAGCTGCTATTACCGTCAGCACGAGACTCGTCCTTACCTCTCTCAGATTCCTCAGGATACCTATCATGGTGCTGCTTCTGACTCGCAACGTACTAGTTCCGCCAAGGTTGTCCTCTTTTCGACGTACTTGTTGCCGGTTCCTTGCCTAAGACTAGCACACAAACAAAGGCGCACATTGATTAGCCCGCAATTCTCATTCATGGATAACAACCGCATTGGATCAACTTACAAGCTCCCGCTTGCGCCATGGCGGCATTGGCGGCAGTCCTGGGGTCAAAGGGCGTGCCGCTGCTGGGCACCTTCTGGGGGTTCTGAGACTGCCGTTGGTAGTAGGCACCAGGCGGTTGGACAGGTTGGGGGCCCAGGACTCGGGGCGGGATATTGCCCGTGGTTTTTTTGTGCTTCTTGGTGATGGACTTGAAGAGACAGCAGAGGCAGCCCATATTGGAGGTTCAGGGTGGTGGCTATCTGAGTGGAATTGGATGAAGGGTGATCTGGATAAGCAGAGGGACTGGGAGCTAAGCAGAATTGAGCCGGTGTTGATGGCCATGTTATATCCTAAACCCATGCCTACTTGGTCACTTCGTTCTGTTTACCTGCAGTTTCCCCTCGGAGCTGGCCGACATAGGGCCAGTTCTGGAACGAGCGAGGTGACATCGAACATGGCCGACGTCTGAGCCCAGTCCGAAACGTACCCGTGTAGTGCTGTAGCTCCGCACCACCGGGCGTCCATGACGCTCTTCCAGTGTTTGGTAGAGGCTTCGCTGCGTTTGTCATGGACGTCGTAAACGCTGATGATCCTGCTTCCCACGGTGAGATGGTTTGCCTCTTCCTAGTCAGGTTCTGCTGTTAGGCACGCCATTTGTTGAATGACGAAAAGGGCCGTCGTTCATGGCCGCATATTTGGAGGCCGGACTCGGAACGCGACCGGAGCAGAGGCCGGGCTCCGGATCCTGGTCGGGCTGGCCGGGGTGGAGCCGGGCTTGGGCCCTATTAGGCAATTTGCACCGGGCCACGACCGGGGGCGTTTCGGAGGGTCTACTGCCCTACCAAACATCGGCCCTAAAACTCAAAAGCGACAAGCTACTGACTGTTACATCGCCATATCACAAGCTCACCTCAGCTGCCTACCTTGAGCATGACCGCCAGAGTCCAAAGAGAAGTCAGGCTCCTCGAGAATCCCAGGATACCAGTCGACCCTCCGGTCCCAAAGGCCACGCAGTCAAAGTCTCTTAGGTTGTAGATGCACCTCCTCCCTTCTCTTAGCGTCTCGTTGCCTTAGACCACGTGAGGGGCGTTCAGCCGTTCGATCGTCCCTGAGATCCCCAGGGAATATTCTCTACTTCTTCAGCAGAGCCAGCAGATGCCATCATGATGGATCCGCCGCCGTCAATTGTCCAAGCAGTCAAGACACGCCAGTTCAGGGAACGGCTGGCCGGATACTGCCAACAAAGCATCTTTGAAGCTGGGGTAGGTAGGTGCTTGAGAGCGCCACTCTGGCCCCGCTGGCCTCACGCGTTTCCCCCCTCCGCAGGCACTCGTGAGCTTACCTGATATTTAATGACCTACAGGGAGCTGTCCATCGACCCGCAACACAAGGTCGGTTACCACAGTTGAGCCGCGAGTGCTCTCATCTTGGGGATGTCGGGCGCAGATAGTCCCACACACACAACAGATGGGTGCCACTGTGTTTCTAAACATGGTGCGAGGAGCTTCACCAAGACGGAGAGCAGGTCGGGAACACTGCTCCCCGTCTATGGTCTGTGTAATCAGATGGTGTCGAGTGTGATCCATATTTGGTTCAACGCCGGAACGGAAGCGACGGAAGGATATCAGTTTGATAATTGGGGAAGACTTGGCCTGGCATGTGATCAAACCAGCTATCGGTTCATGATACACCTGCCCAAAGGCACGGTACGCTGAGGGGACGGGAGCACTTCGGAGCAAATACACCATGCGTCTCGGCTGATGTCAGCTCGAGAACGTTGGCCTCTACACGCAGAACCTCATCTTCCAACCCGCAGGCCTATACCTGGGGTATGGTAAATAAGACGTTACGCAGGCGCCAGACATGCATGACCTGCAGGTTGGCAACAGTCGATGTGCTACACGAGGTGAGTAAGCCACCATACAGCCTCTATTAGGCAACTAGTACGAAGTTCCTTCTGCTCCAAGTAACACCAAGTTAACGGCTGGTCTTGTACTACGCTAGGGAGGCGAGACAGCGACACTGGAGTCTAAAGCTGAGCGCCAATGAGGCTGACAGAGTGGTGGCGCGAGCGGCCTGTTGTGCTACCAAACCCTCGTATATAATTTGTAGCCTGGCGAGACATAATACCGCACAGGGCAGGAGACTTTCGCCGTCTTTTTTCGAATACCCCTGTCGAACCTTTCTCGCCGCCTATTGACTTACTATCGCGGCACAGAATCCGGCAATATCACACTGACCGCGTGGAGCGTCGCTGCTCGTACGATCACCATTCAAAGCCTTGTAAGGTGGGAGGTCTCGGCTCGGTACGAAAGCGTCATGGAAAGCTGAATCCATTTCTCGTGTTGTTGGCGGTGTTATTGTGGACATGAGATGGGTATAAAAGCTTCGAGACGTGCCCGAGAATCGAAGAAATCATCTCCAACACACACCTCTGAGGACAATCCCCTATCCCTTCGCAAACGAGACACAAACACACGCACCTTCTTTGACTCGTCAACGAATCATCATCAGTACGTGGCTAATGCTGCTTGCGCTGTTGACCAGCCTCACCATCATAGCGATCGTTAATCAAACAAACACTCCAGACATGAAGTTCTCCGCCACCTCCATCGCCGCCATGGTCGCCACCCTGGCCTCCACCGGCTTAGCGACCGTGTTCACGGGCACTCGCACTGGCATCGACGGAAGTCAGGCCGCGGTCGCCTGGTAAGCCGCACCCTTCTTCGAAATCGTGCCAATGCAATTACATAACAGGAAACGAGAGCTCTGACATATCATGCGCTTCCCTACCTAGGACGAACGGCACCCCGGACCTCTGCTCCGGCTTCGGCAAGATCGTTGACGGCACGGGCAACCCGTGCGGCCGCGACTTCTTTGTCGACGGCAGCAACGGCCCCTTCCGCCTCGAGGGCTGCGGCGGTGCCGGTCTCACCCTGTTCCGCAGCGGCCAGTTCAACGCCAACTGCCGGTTCCAGCAGCGCACCTTCAATTGCCCTGGCGGGGCTCGGATCCGTCAGGACTGGGTCTGCTAGGTGCCTTACCTAACTAAGCACATGCTCCGTTCTGGATGTGCCAGCCGCGAGGAGATGATGCATGTGAAGTGTTGCGGAGGAGACGCTGCAAGTTCAAATTAGATTTGAGGGAAAGGGGGGATCAATTATGGCTGGTAGTCTGCGGAGACTCTGTAGTTTCAACAACTACAGACTTTTGATATATTACACATTGAGACTTCTCTGGGGTATTCATGACTGGGACTATCATGAGAAGAAGTCCTCTACATGACCGAAGGCTCAATCTGCATAAGTGAAGTGAAACCCATTCTGCTCTAAATATACGTCTGCCTGGGATCACTGAGAAGCTCAACGGTTTGAGAACACTGTGTATCTGAAGCCATTAGGAGTACTTTACCTTAGGTACCTATTCATATGCCCTCGCAATCTGGGAGCAAGCTTGAAGCCTTTGGTATCCGGTTCGGAGCAGACGGCTGTGCCAAAATTGGGAGGAAGGGACTACTACTAAGATCGGGTAGATGCCGAGCATTCAGCGGTCTGACAATGCCACAAGAGTGAGAACCTCAAGCAAGTACGCAAGTAATCAGAGGTATGCTGGGTTGACTCACCACACAAGCTGTGCAATCAGTAAACGGAGGGTAAGCGGCAAACCGACAGTTTGAGCTAGGACCACCGGCTCTGCAAGGAAAGAGGGAGCTGATGCAGCGGCATGTCCGATGATTGTCTCTCGTGCCATTATTGTCAGTCCCGTGGAAGGTGCAGGTCTCCCTGTTGTTGTTGCAAAATCCGGCCTCACAAGCATGCGGCCGGCAGCTGCATGATTCCCCTGATAGAAAAAGGGAGCTAGACTCACTCAGTTGCCGCAGTACTCTCCTCGGCCAGGTCGAAGCCCACACGAGATAATGAAATCAAAAGCTAGTGGGCTGCAATGAGCATTTGCAAGCAGACCTGCCGGGAGGACGAGGATCGGGACCACGACTGGTCTTCAATAAGGCCAGAGTGGCTGTGGCAGTGGCTCTCAGCCGCCACTCCCGGGAGGTACATGTGGCCTCTAATCAATCGTAATCCCCGAGTCAGCAAACCGTCAGGGCACTTGAACAAGTGGTCCTTGAGGTAGTTCCAACTTACACATAGCGGCGATAGATGAAGGCTATCCCCATTGAGCGGCCGGTGCATGAAAGTTTGCTCTGGCAGAAATTGGAAAGCTGACACAAAGGCACCTTCTGTTGTCGGAAGACATGCTTGCTGGTCGAGCTCGAAAGAGATGTTAATGTTCGCTGTATTCACTTCGTAGACCGCCGCGGCACAGGACTTTTGTGAGGAAAAGAGGCAGGTCGAGGCTGACTCCGTTCGACATCTGCTTGAATGCTGGGATGTTGCGTAGGATCTGAAGGATAATGTACTGTTGTTGCTCGCCCCATTTTGCTCGCGAGACTGACTTCGTCTGACATTAGAACTCAGGATATGCCGTGAATGATCCTTCTCTAAGCTTAGATCCTTCGATTACCTGCTCAACAGTAGCACTCACGTGTCATCGAGACTTGTCTAGCAGCGCAATGCAAGAAGAATTTGCGGCGTTTACAACTCAAAATGCCATGGTCCCAAACGGGGCGTACAAAGCATGGCACCATCAGATGCTCACAGGCTTAAACATCAACAAAAAACACGCCAAATGAGGAATCCTGAGTCACCAAGAGTTGTTCACCGAGTCTTGATGCCCGATATGAGTTGGCGGCGATGTTACTGCTAATTATCTACAGAGACCTGTCAGAAAAGTCCCAGCTTTCGAATCATTGACTAACACCTAAGAAGGGCAGCAACACGTGATGCCTACCAGTGAAGCGGAAGGAACTTGGCGTAGAGGAATCCTTGATGAGTCACCATATCAATCCACAAAGGGCCAGCAACCCCTGGGCATTCAATCTGCCAGATTTGACCTGCTTCTCCTCTGGCCAGATACCGTAGCTTTATACGGTCACTGCACTGGCGCTGTCCATCTTAACCTGAAAGGAGCAGCCGGCATGGACCATTACACGTCATGCCCAAGTGAAACTCGGTGATGTGAGCCCTGGGTCCAGGTTTGGGGGACAACAAGTGGTGTATAAAATGTCCTTTCGGTTGTATTCAATGGAAAAGTCGAGCCCTTACTTATGTCAACCTCATCAACAAACGCCTCAACAGCAGCTGCCCTAAGTTATTCAGAAATCATCGCCAGCCAACTTCCGTTCTCGGAGAATCTTTGCGGCAAGCAGAATCTTCCAGTATTTTCGTATTCATCTACCACCTCGGAGTCGTCGAGAGACTGATTTTTACGATAAGACGGATATACGATTACCCATAGAAGCTCCCCGGCCGGAGAGGTAACCGGGAAGACAACATGATTCCATGTTACTGCGTCAGCAACCAGACATTCTGTGATAGGCGAAGCTTTTGCAAAGGGGAGAAGTTCGGGCGTGGATATTGCAGCGCTTGCGTATGGATCACCCCTGATCATCATCGCCCCCCAGAATTCCATGTTGACTTGTTTTCACCGGCAGATCTTCGCCTGTGCACGGAAGCCCGATGCCCCAATGTTCGGTACACCTGGGATTTACTCGGGTAGAATTTCATCAACGAAAACCTGCGCTTGCAAGGGGACGTCGTCTTGCCGATTTCCTCTCTCATGCAAGACCAACACGGACAGTTCTCAGAAATCCTACTGCCGCTCTTGTAAAGTACGACTCCCTCCACTTTCCACATTTATAGCACCATATCTCTCAGTCATACCACTAGTACTCAGGTAACACTGTTGCTCGCGCGTTAGGGATGGTGTGAGAAGTCAACTACATCCTACTCCAGCTCCGGCTCCGGCTCCTGCCCTGGCGGCCCGGACCCCTGGTCCAACTCCAGCATTACAACCAACACTTGCGCTTGCAAGGCGAAGTCTTCTTGTAGATTTCCCTTTATATGCGAGACTACTACAGCCGACATGTTTACCTCCTACTGCAACTCATGCAAAGTACCTTGGAACTCCTCTCTTGAGTTGATATCTGGCAGTTCTTCCAACCACCCCGCCGGCCCCTTGTAAGCTAACAACTTGCCGCATGCCAGGGCTTTTGCGATTCGTCTATTACTCCCTTCGACTTATCTTCAAGCCGAGGGAAGTGCCTTTGCAAGTTTTCGAGGACTTGCAAGTTTCCCAACACATGCAGGGGCGATATGAGCTCCTCCAGTTCATATTGCATGATTTGCAAGGTAAGCATCATGCTCACTTTTGCCGTCTGACGAAAGCGCATCTCGCTTTAACCCTCGCTACAAGTGCTAACGCCGATCACTCGTCCTTGGTTTAGGGCTCTTGTGACGGAAAAACGACCACTTCCCAGTCTGCCAGCATATCGGCGTCCGCTCATTCTTGTGGCTGTGAGGGGAAATTAACGTGCAAGGCTGGATCCAACTGTATTGGGCGAGCTCTGATTGAAGGCGGACGTTGCGAAGCATGCCGGGTAAGTTTGCCCTACCCTTATAACGGCTTGTATCTTGCTTATAGGGGATATCATAATCGGCTGACAAACTGGGAATCTACCTACATGCAGTTTGCGAACTGTGCTTTCTCCTTTTGAAGCTTTTATAGTCGCCGAGATCTTGATACCTTGCATGGCTTCGGTTCTAAATCTCTTCTTACATTCTATCTTCCTTCAATGGCTTGAATGGGCCTGGAGCTCTTCAAGTTGTTTGTTGAAATCTCGAATTCGGCGTCTGCGAAGTACCCGTTTCTTAGATGAGTCTCAAGGCTATGATACCTAGCTGACTGAGTGGTACTCTGCCCGTCACACTTCATGTTGGCATCGACCTGAGACGTACCTTACGTGTACCTAGGCCGCTATTTTTTCAGTATGTTGTAACGTTAGTGCTTTTTGATAAGACACTGACCAATACGCCCACACTCAACTCTTCCCAAATTCATCCGTTCCAGCTGCTACGCGTCTAGGCTATTTTCGTTGTCCTGATACTATAACGTACATGATACGCGAGCCGGCCACTCTTCAACCACCCAACGACAAACATCTTCAATTGTAACACAACAACACTAGAAACCAACTACAATTACATCAGAAACAGCTAAATCAGATAATTCTGCGGCCTCCTGGCACGTACGTACATTATGGCCGGGCTTGCCGCGCTCACCACAGCACCGAACTTTCGTACGAGCTCCCCCTGCACCAGCACCATCAGCTGCGTTTCTTGGAATTCCTCCCTACCTACGGCCTTCTGGTCTAGAAGATCTTCGCATCTTGCATAGTAAATGATTCTCCAAGCTGTACACGTGTTTTCTTGACTCTCCGGCGCTTGCTTAATGCCTCGTTGGCCTTGCGAAGTTAAGCGTTCTCCGCACGAAGAGCCACCTCGTGCATCACAGCCATCGTACCCTTAGCAAGCTGTTCTACAGCAGCCAACACTGACGTCGCGGAGCCAGTTTAATGGTTGGCAATGTGAGTCTTGATAAGTATTGACTGCGAATTGGCTTCCCGGGGGTTGTGTGGTGTCTGGAAGACCCAGGGTTGTGTAGTGCTGGGTGGCGAGTTCGGGGGTTTAGCGTACGAACCTTTACATCCAGCTTGGAAAGCAACCCTCTCTGGATTGTACAGTAAAAGGCCAGCACCTGCAAAGCCACCCTGTATGTTTTTCTCCGTCATAGAGGCGAACAAGGCCTCGCGGAAGGCACAAAGGAACTCAAGCTTGCTCATGTGGTTGATATGCAAACGCATCAAATGCTCGATCTGGCGACCGTACGCCTGCTTTAGCGGCCCGAAGCAGCCAACATCAAGTGGCTGGAGCCTGTAAAAAGAGAGTGCGGAGGCATATAGAGTGTGATGATATTGTTCTGCTGGCAGTGAAGCTCGAATTCGCTCGAGTGGTTGCTTTCGGGGCCGTTGAGTATCAACAACTGGTATCTGCCCTTTTAACAGGGCGCTATATGGTAGTCGAAGTGCTTAATCCAATTTAGGCCTACCGCATTAGTAGTTCAGCAATTGTCGGTAGTTGCGGTACGCCAGTCGGCCAGGAGGTTGCACTCGGTGTATCAGTTCGTGAGGTGGTACTGATAGCCAAGATGATGAAGGGAGGGATGGCCCAGCCGAGGGCGTTAACTCCCTGGATTACCGTTGCCTATTCGCGGTTGCCAGGCTGGGCGAGTTTTGCCTTGCTGAGGCCGTCTGAGGTCGTAACCACTATGCCCGCGAAGATGATGCCCATCGTAACCTAGTCTCGTCGAAGTTGTAGATGTTATCCTCCACAATACCGTACTTGGCTATAATGTTCCGTACAGGCGTAAACCACTCGGCCATGACCTTTGGATCCTCACACTCTGCCTTCTGGTAATCGTATCTACGCGTAAAACGCCTACGGAGCTGTGGCTGGCGCTTGACGAAGTTATGTGCCCAGAGCTTGCCGACAGAGGGCGCGTCGCGTACGCGTAGCAGTTGGTTGGCCATATCCTCCACACCACGCAATCTTGGTGGAAAAACTCGCGCATATAAATCAATAACGCATTGAACAATGGCATCCTCCGCTAATTGAGTAAGCTTCTTCGAATTGGGCGTGGTGCTACGTCGTGCAGACTTGCCAGGGCGTCGCCGCGAAAGAGTTATACGATCAATGTTATAAATCTTAGCAGCGGCCCGTACACTTATATTTTTGTCATTTGAAGAGCCTCAACGGCCAAGTTCATCCTAGCTTCGTCTAAGGTGGCAGGAATAGTTGATTGTTGTTGAATGGTATGTCGTAGGTGGAAGGTCGCGTCGCGTCGGAAAGTGGCTCACTCGCTTCTAATGTACGTTATCAGGTCAAGGTACTTTTAAAGGAGAGTCTATTTAGTTCTCTTTTCTTAGGGGAGGATTATTCCTGATAAAGATATATTGGTGTAAAATAGTTACTAGAGTCTTCTTATAGTTAAATACTTCAATGTTAGAGTGATATTCTGGAGTAATGGGAGCCTCCTAGACTGACGGCCACCCCAGCGATCCTTAGCCCGGCGTTCGGCCAAGTGCATCCACGATAGATTGCCGCAGCACAGTCCGGAAATCTTTGTAACAAAAGGCTTTGCCGGAGGCAACGAGGCTACGGGTTCCGGCTCACCTACAAGCTCCCTCCGTGGCTCACGTCCCGTGTGTTGTCTCTGCCGCTCACGTCTCTCTCCGACGGCTTAAGTCTTGTGCTCCGAGCACCGAGGAGTGTTTCCAAGGATGCCCCAATCCTCTGGAATTTGCCGCTGCGACGGATTTGCAGTCCATCCAGTCACTGATCCCGAGCGGAGTGGCTTTACCGGCGGATGTCGGGCATGCGTATGGATTGACTGCACTCCATGTAAGCTCAGTCATCGTCAAAGAATCCGGTGGCATTGGTTGATGATGCTTGTGTCACATATAGATTCGGCATCACAGAGCGAGGAGAGTACGCAAGGGGGAGGTGCAGGTGTTCATCGCCCGTTTCTTTCGGACGCACCAGAGCGACCAATATTTCCGTCTTAACCGACCGAGACCGCTACCCTACCCGCAACCGCTCAGCCAGGTCACTCAGACGTCATCGGCATACTTGGCTGGCCCTGGACCTGTAGCTTTCGTCAATAAGGACATCTAAATGTGTCGTTTCCTTATGCAGCACGGAGAGATGCATACTGCGAAACAAGCTCGCGACGGTAGGTATCCGGCGCTTTTTTTTTTTTTTTCACCCACCAGACAGCCGCCCCGGCGCATAACAGACTGATATTATCTTGGAAAACTAGGTCGGTAGTGGACATTATAAGGGACGAGGTGATCAACGGCAAAGTCAAGGACACGGATAAGGAGGAGATCGCCTCCTCCACCGCCAACATTGACGAGCCGGACTCACTAGGCCGAACAAGCCTCTCCGCGGCCGCCTGGCGCTGCTGGACGCTGGAGCGGACCCGCACGTCGGCGGGGATTCGTTGTTGCTCACGGCAGCGAAATGCGCGAGTGTGGAGATGCTTGGGCTGTTGGCGGCCGAGATTCGGTGGATGAATGGTGAGGCCAGGGATAGAGATGGGAATACTTGGCTGTCCTGTTTGAGGCGAGGCGGGTTAAGACAACGGCTGCAATGGCCGAGTGTTTACATCAGATGTGACAGCCAGTGGAGGATATTTGTCCTTGAACAGGACGTCGATGGCCAGTAAAGGAGGCACATGTGGTTTCTCGGGTTGGCACGTGGCTTTCTTGGATGGCAGGAGTTACATTTTAGATACTTCCACGGTTGAATATTCGACATCAAAGACTGTTGGTAGCATGGGTGTGAAGACTGGGTTGTACTTACTTTGCATCTGCTGCAGTACCAGAACTGGGAGCTTCCTCCTCTGCCCCTTACGCGCGAGCAAATCCTCGGGCCATTGCAACCTGCTCTACTTGGCAGAAGCATGGCTCCTGGTGACACTTGACCTTGTCTGGACACATATTTCTGAACTTAAAGGAGTTGAACAAGATCAAGTATCAACAATTGGAACAAGTCAAAGCATGAGGACCTGAACCTCTGAGGTGCATAAGGTAGGTACGGTAGGTACCTTAAATATGGATTCTTGTACGAGACAATTCTGGCAGTACTTGTCGTCCCCGTTCTCGGCCTCAATTCGGTTCAAGCACTCGGCGGGATTTGCACGTGTACCCGAAACAAAGACAAAGCTGTACAAATGATCAGATTTCTAAATGGAAGTGAGGTCGACTGGTCACTCTTCATTTGTGACTAAATAAGCGTGACTTAGGGGCGCTGCATTTGAGTGTCTATTGTTTGCTTTAAAATGGCTGAATACGGTAGTAACTTTCAGGCATAATATCAAAGCAAGAAAGGAGGCTGTGAAGCTTGCAGAGTTGGGACACGACTATATGTAAAGGTACCTCACCGGGCAGATAGCCGACCTGATTTTCATAGTCGTCGACATACTTCGAAAGTACCGTATGCACACATTGATGAAGCTATGTATATTGTCGCTAACTCATCCCCGGGTTCCAAAAGCCAGGGTTTATCTCTTTTGAGTTCAGTGTCAAAAGTCGGGAACTCGCGAAACGTAGGCAGAAAAAAACGCAACGCTTTCTCATTAAGGTACCAGAGTTCAAAATCCTCTAGCGGTCCCAGTCCTGCCCCTCGACACAACCTCCACCATCCGTTAAATCATAGACAGCATTGCCAAAGATCTCCTGCGCTTTGACTTCCCGTCCGAGTTTCAAGTTGCAGGCTGATCAACGAGTTCAGATTGGACAGCCCGCAAACTGAATATTGGAGCTTGTCAGCCGGGAAATATTCATTGAGAAAGAGTCAAGGCGTTTCAGCAGCAGACTTACCGAACATTGCAAACAGCGTGCCCCTGGAATCAGGGATTCGAGCTCGTGACAAGAGTTTGCAACCCGGCACGTAGACCGTCCATAGCAGGAGCAGTGACTGGTGGATGACCTGCCGGCCGCCTGGGAAGAGGAGGAGGTCACGTTGCAGACGCCCTAGCGGGGAGTAGAGGTGTTAGCCTGACTTATCAAAGGGCTGATTGAAAGATGAGCAAGAGCATTACCCTGCATGTCCTGCAATACGAGTCGAAGGAGTTGTATACACTTCCTTTGCATGTGTAGGGATGCTTACAGGAAGAGGACGACTCAGACGACTTGCAAGTGCAGGCTTTGGATGACGAGCCGACACCGCGGGCGAAATCGGATGCATCGGTTGGCTTGCCACACGAACCCTCGATCACAGCAATCGTGTTAGCTCACTGCAACAGGAGACCAGTGGTGAGGCTGCAAGAGAGAGTATTACCCGGCATGTGCTGCAGTACGGTTCGCAACAGCTGTCTGTAATAGTGCCCTTGCATGTATACGGAAATCTACAAGCAGAGGTTCTTCTGCAAGCGCAGATCGACTCGGAGCTGGAGATTGATGTAGCTTTACAATATTTCTAGCAATGGCGACTATGTTAGCTTACAGGAACTGAGAATGAATGGTGGTGAAGAAGCTCCAGACAGGAGAAGAGCCTTACCTCGCATGGGCCGCAGTACAATTCCAGGGTGCTAGCCGTTATGATTTGGCATGAATAGTGCATTCGACAAAAAGACGTCCCTTTGCAAGCGCAGGTTCTCGAAAGCTGGCCGGAGGAATGGCGCTCGGTTTCGTCGATCCATTTACCCAGGTCGTCTCTGCTCGTATTTGACTGGGACATCTCGGGACTGTTTTCTTGTCGATGCTTCGGTTATGAGCTGTGAAGTGCGGTTGTATGTATGTGTGACGGCACTCGGCCTCTCGGCGACTCAACGAATGTGGTTGTATTCAAGATTATCAACTTGAAGATTGGCAGTCCGGTCCGCTCAGTGAATGACGCCTACCTTACTTAACAGCGCGAAGCGGCCTCAAGGAGCGATAAAATTGCACGCTCACGGAAAAGACCTTTCTTTCTAGCTCACGGGCAGGAGCCGCCGATTTCATAAGCAGCTGTAAGCAATTTAGAAGGGCAGGAGCGGTAGGTATCGGGCTTAGAAGGCAGGAGCATTTAGGACATTAGTAAGGTAACGCGAGCCGTTGAGCTGGCAACTAAGGTGACCGCTAACGAAAACCCGAAGGCACTTGAACGAGAATGGAGGGAGAGTTTTGGTTATATCTTGAGCTGTGTTGAAGTGCTAGTCCCTGGAGTGCCTACACCGCTCTGCCGCTGCGGGTGAACCCCGGAGACAGTGGCTTACCTGGTGCTTAGATGCCACGACCAAGGCTCAAAAACGGGAGACCCCAGCTCAGGGACAGGCACGACCTGATGAGAGCGCATGGAAACCGCTCCAGCGCAGCGCGGATAGTCGCCTGGCTCATGGGCCTTGGGAGACTGGCTGAGTACAGGCTCTCGATGGAGCTGGAGCGTGAGGGAGCAGAGGAAGACCCTGCTGAGGAAGGCGGAGGGACTGGGAGCTCGGAGGGGCCCAAGAAGGAGAAATAGAGGAAGAAGCGCACCGGGCTCTAACGCCATGCTGGAGCCCCAAGCGCGCAGCGCGAGTTATGCAGCTAAGTGACTATCACGGCCGGATGGCCGCCCACAGCTTCGTCGTCACCAAGCCGAAAAGGTGAGTTCCGGACTGCTGGATGGGAGGGACTGCTAGGAGCGCCCGAGCGGCAACTAAGCCGTGCGGACGCAGCACGGGAGCGGACGCCTTGCATGTAAAATAGCGCGGAGGGACCGCTTGCCCGAACTGGGCGGGGCGATTACCCTTGCGGTATAAGATCAATGTATATAACGTTATATATTGTGAAGCTTAACTAACTATACTTTGAATAGTTATTTATCTATAAGTAAGTTGATTATTTCTTGTATACTTAAGAGCTATAATAACTCGGTGTGACGAATCTCGAAACCCCAACTTCTGAAAGGGACTCCTGAAGGTTTAATTTGACAACGGGGTGAGGTTCGGTGAAGCCAAAGGGTTCACAACAAGCAATGTCCAAAGGTACCGACAATCTTGCACTTGAGTTGCTACTGGAGAACTCCCAGAGTTCTCCAGAACGAGTGACGATACACTTGGTAGAGCGTTAATGATCGCCCATGATCGCAGTCTACCAAGAGCTATCCTTGATCGCCTTGGGTAGCCAGCTACCCAAGTCTACCCTTGATCGCCCGGCCCCCACGGCTACCGTGTGGGCCTCGTGCGGTTCCTGCAGTTCTGTCTTGTGCCCCACTGGGCCTGTACATATGGTTGGTTCGTGACACTCGGGCCTTAGCTAGAGCTAAATCTATAGTATTGATAAGGAGAAGAGTAATTGCGAAATAAGGCGGAGTATATCATAAGGCAGAAGGGGGGTGAGCCAGCAACGAGAGGGATCACCAAGGCGTCTGGAAAAGCTCAAAACAAGAGTCTACGGATAGTGGCAGGAGCCTTCAAGTCCACACCCACTCGGAACCTTGAAACGGAGACATGGG